AAACCATTAATAAAGTAGCACATGACAAACAAACACAAGTTAAAGAACGGCAGGGAACAGCGTGGGAGTGGAGGCTTTGAAAAGCATACACTAGAGTTAGGGAAATGCAGCTTCTCCTAGATGTTTCACTCCCTCCAGCTAAGGACAGAAAACTTCTCTAGTATGAAGTTCTTCCTCAGCAGAAAAGGCACTTGGAATAATGTTTTCTTCATATTTTTGATACACAATAATACCATTTAAATAGAATAACACACAACACCTTGGATGAACAAAAGACCAATTTAGTCAAGGCCTCTGTTGACAGATTAAAAGTAAAGGCAACAAATAATTGAGATTCAATGGTTACTTCCATAGACCCCATAGGTATTAGATTCTTGTGTATAATATAACACATAGACAAGAGTTACACACATGGACCTCAGGTCATCTCCTACACTATACCAAACAAGAAGGTTATGCACTGTGAGAAACATTGTACCTAACCCAGAACAGGCAATTTTATAGACTGATCAGCAATAGTAATAATATGCAGGGCTTCAATACAAACAAATGTAAAAGTCAAGGTAACTACTTATGTAAGCCTACCTCTAAATTGAATGTCATCATGCTTTACATGTAGAACAGATAAACCACTTAGTTATACTTTATTTGAATTCTCCACATTAAGCTAACAGTTGGCTTTACAGTAATAGAACCAAGAAATTATCTATAGAGTACAAGCAAAAAGAGAAGAAGAATGCAGAAGAGCAATAGAAATAAAAATGGCAATGAGACTGCAAGAATAGGTAGGAATTAATTTTGATTCAAGTTTTGAGTTAAAAAGACATTGCATTTCTAAAACTGCCTGAATTCCTGTTTATCAAAGGTGACTGCCCTCTTAAAACAAATCATAACCCAAGCAGGCCTCAGGAGCATGGTGTGGCTCCTCTGTATCCAGCAGCACCCCAGCATATTCTGTTGCAGGAGTCTCAGATTCTGAGTCATTATCACTAACGGAAGAAAGCTTTATTTGGGTACGATTAGTAAATTAATTAGTATTTCCTGAACATGATAGCTCTAGGAAAGAGTCACTAAATGGCACAATCTCTCAAGTATGGGGATGAAAGAAGGTAAAAAGAAAAACAAAAACAAAAAACCCCACAGAGGATCAGAAGAAGAACCTGAAAAAAGAAGACTGAAGACACCTACTAGTGAATAGAAACTTAAGAAAATGAGCCAATACAGCTGGGCACGCTGATGCACACCTGCGATCCCAGGATGGTCAAGGCTGAGGTCAAATGGGGATAGAGTAAGACCTTGACTAAAAAAAAATAATAATAATCCCAAATATAAAATGCCCTCGATTTTTTCAGTCTCCAACATATGTATATCTGGTCAAATTTAACTTGTAGCCAAGACAGACTGTACCACTTAAAATCACAATGGAAAGAAAAACAAACAAGACCACAAAGGTAAAAACTTAGACATGTCTAGTTTTTTAAAAATTCATCTTTTATTTATTTACTTTATTATTCATTTTATTACTTAAAACCGAGAACTCGGTTTTTGTAAGCTGTATCAAAGAGACTTGCCAGAAAACATAGTTTTGGGGGGAAGAAGTCACTGTTTGGCATAAGAGATCAGTTTCCTAGTTCCATTTGGAACTTTATTTGGCTCAGTGTTCTCAGTCCTGGCTATGAAGTTAAAAATAGCTTGAGCAACTTATCTGGGCCAGGCTTGGTGGTACACATCTTTAATTCCATCACTTTGGAGGCAGAAACATGCAGATTTCTGAGTACAAGGCCAGCCTGTTCTACACAGTGAGCTCCAAGCCAGTCAGGGTTACAGTGAGACCCATTCTCAAAAAAGATCCTGCTCTGCATATGTTTTATTTAACTGTTCTTATTATTACATATAAATAGTACTTCATGAGAATCATAAAAAGGCAAGGAGCCTACAAGCAAAACTCATTAGCAGTATACCACTGACCTCCATGGAGTGAGGTTTAGTTAATACCCAGCAGTGCTGGGTCTTATAGCATATACCTACAATCCCAGCACTAGGGATGCTGAGGCAGGAGGATTGTCAATTTGAGACTAACTTAGGCTACAAATGAAGAACCTGTCAACAACAAACAAGCAAACAAAATAACAAAACAACAAAAATCCTGCCTCAAAAACAAGGTAGAAGGCCAGGATCAACACCCAAGCATAGTCCCCCCCGTGCATGCACACACACTAAGAAACAAACACAACCAACCAAAACAAACACAAAAACTCCAAATACAGAATACTAAGTTTTACCAGAATCTAACTAAATCAGGATCTCTCTGGTACAAGATTTGTATGTATGTTGTCATATAGTTTTGTGAAATGCTACTATAAGGCAAGGTTTCATCTAAGAAATGGCACTGAAATTATTTTCCACTTTAGGTAATTTCAACAGGAATTTTAAAGTCTCACAATTTACTGATGCCTTAGAAGCTCATTTTCTACACAGCCAAATTTGGACTTCTCTTCTAAGGTTCTTGTAAAAGAATATATTAAACTACATACAGATCCAAAGTAAAAGTAAGTTAGCACTCACATGATGGCTCACAACCATCTGTAACTCCAGTCACAGAGAATATGATGCCCTCTTGTGGTCTCTGAGACACCAAGCATGCATGTGGTACACAGGCATAAAATACAAAGCACCCATATGCATTTAATTAATTAACTAAGAATGCAAAAAAAGTGCTATGTACAAAATTGTTTTTTTTAAAGACAAGGGCCTTACACTATAGCCCTAGCTGGTCCGAAATTTCCTTTGAAGACCAGGCTGGCCTCAAACTCGCCTGCTTCTACCTCCTGAGTGCTGGGCTTAAAGGCCACTATGCCTAGCCTCAAGTGAGTTCTTAGAACCTTTACACTCACTAATTAGGCTATGATGGCTTGCCAGCAAGCTCCAGGGATCTATCTGTCTCTGCCTCTGAGTACTGGGCTTAAAATGAGTGCCACCATTACCTGTTTTTTAAATATGTGGGTGCTGGCAACCAAACTCAGGTTCTTATCCTTCAAGACTTAGCCATCTCCTCAGCTCCTCCCGCAGCCTTTTTATCTGAAGCAGTACTTAGGCTGAGTTTTATCTTTAGGTATTATGGATCCATACACCTGTTAGAATTGTGAGCCTGCAAACATCAAAATCAGGGCCTCTTAGCCGGGCGGTGGTGGCGCACGCCTTTAATCCCAGCACTTGGGAGGCAGAGGCAGGCGGATCTCTGTGAGTTCGAGGCTGGGCTGGACCAATGGCCTCCAAAACAATACAGAGAAACCCTGTCTGGAAAAACCAAAAAAAAAAAAAATTGTTTAAAATCAGGGCCTCTTTTCCACCTCCATCCCTAAACCAATTTGTCCTCTTAGGTTCCTGAGTCCATCACATAGTAACCCTCCAGGGAAACTGAAAAGGATGTTAAAGCATAAACCTGAGGATGTGGTATTCAACCTATAAGTGATACAGCAATATAACAAGAACTATTTTCATTTCCTGGGCAGCTCCATGATACTTAAATTATTTGTCTACTTTGAGTCTAAAAAGACTATACAGCAATGTGGAGTGATGACTCAATACTGGTCTTCTACAATCAGTCAATCCCAAATGCTACAGTCAAAAGAAAGACAATAGGGGTGTTCACTAGTGACAACAAGCTACAGTCCCCTGCATGGTCTATGACTAGATTCTGGATGCACTGTACAACTCACAGAGGTCTGACTGTAACCATAGTAGACTCTCTGCCAACAAAAACTGACATGGAAAAGTCATAGATACCGCAATCTTCGTGAAGCTTAAGAGACAAAGGCATTAGATACAGAAGAAAACAAGTGGTTTTGTTTCTATCATCTCTGAAAATGTATTTCTGACCTAGGTGTGTGCCCTCCAATGTTGCTGGGAATTGCGTCAACTTGTCAGGCATCTTGATAGTCATCAGAGTATCAGACACCTAATCTATAAGTCCACCAAGGTTAGGTAGCTGATTTGCAAGGAGTCTTGTGACCTATCATTTTCCAAGCCTTTTCCCCAGACATTGACTGTTGCCATTTGCTATTTCTCCATCTTGGACAACAACAAAAACTGGCGGCCCATGTCCACAGAGATTCTGGACTTTGGAACCTTTTATCATTAGAATCCTGGAAGCTAATTAAATTGGAAGTATGACAAAGGCAGAAGGAAGGGGAAAAGTCAAGCAATTCTTTCCAAAGGTACATTTTAGACAAAAATTCTCAAATAACTGCCTTAAAACATTTCTGAGTTGGAAAAGGCACAAACTAATAACTATTTTTTAAAGATTTATTTATTTATTACATATACACCAGATTGAATTGTAGATGGTTGTGAGCCACCATGTGGTTGCCGGGAATTGAACTCAAGACCTCTGGAAGAGCAGTCAGTGCTCTTAACCTCTGAGCCATCTCTCCAGCCCCACTAATAACTATTTTTAAAAGACAGATTTTTTAAAAAATTTTTTAAGAGCATGTGCATGCTGAAGCAGGACCTCATGTAACTCAGGCTTGCCTCCAACTCACTTTGTAGCCAAGGTTAACCTTGAACTCCTGATCCTCCTGCCTCTCCTCCCAAGTGATGGGATTATAGGTATAGACCACCACACGCAACAAGGCAGAGGTTTAAAGGCCTGGAAGATGGTGACCATTATGAAGCCACTTTAATGATGCTTAGAACCAAAGGAAAACTTGTAAGAAGTTAAGAAGCAGGAAAAAGAATGAACTCTGGTAAATACATCATTAATTACGACAGCCACATACCATGCTAACTAAATATCAGAAGTTCTATTTATAAGCAGGTCAACATGACAAATCTGTAATCATGCAGACATATTCCATCCCAATAATGAACAGAATGGTAATGAACTCACTAAAGATAGATAATTCTGTCCTTTACAAAGGACACTTCTGTTCACCAAGGAAAGCTGAATAAAGTTCTTTAGTCCAAGAACTAAAAATACCAAAAGAGAAGCAGGGGCTTACCAGGCTATCCAGTCCTCCTCCTAAAAGATCCACGGCTCCCATCTGCATGGAGGACACTTGTGGCACGTTCACTGGGGGACCCAGGTCAAGATTTAAAAGATCCCCCAGAAGGTCACCTTGAGAGGGGATGACCTGAGGCTGTTCCAGGTTGGTTGCAGTGGTGGTGCCAACAGGGCTATCACCTGCATCGGTGCTGTAATCAAACACAGAGGAGAAATGAGAAAAAACATCTTCACCCATGATACAATAAAGCAGCAAGCAAATGTCACTAAAAATGCAATTAAGGAATTAAACATGGCTGAGAAGGCTCAGTAGGTAAAGGTTCCCACCATTAAGTTTAATCTCCAAAATCCACACAGTGGAAGGAGAAACTGACTCCCATAGGTTGTCCTCTGTGAACATGTGCACGCACATGCACACGCGCGCACACGCATGCATACACACACACACACACACCAAATAAATACATGTTTAAAAAAAACTTAAGTAGCTTTTGACAAGATCTGAACATGGAGGAGTAAGGAGAATGACAGTAAACAAACAGTAAGGAAAAGATGAGTGATGTTGCTAATAGGGGAGTCTGGAAGGATAATAAAAAGAATAAGACACTCAGGTTTTGTCAGTTTTTGTTTGCTAAGAACACATTCTGCCACTGAACTACAACCACAGCTTCAAAATGCTTACTTCTGTTATGTGTTAAAAAAAATAACTACAGATGTCCAGCAGTCAACTAAAGACAAATGATTGGCAGCCGGAGCTAGAGAGTAAACTTGGAAAGAAATTTATATACAAATCTCAGATACTCAACATCAGATAACTCAGATAAGAGCAGAGGATCTAAACCCAGACATCTAAGATCAAGTGTAGGCTTTACATAGTGCAACTGTAGGTGACAACTTTATGACAAAGTTTCCTCATCAAGAGAAATGCAAACAATGCCACCCAAGCCAGTCTATTAAAAGGACCCGACGAAAGCATGATGTTGCGCAGTAGACTCTTGTAGTGGAAGCAGTTGACTATGGATGGCCCCTAAGTTCCCTAAAGGAGTACAAGGGTCCAAACAGACCTTTGAATTAACCAAGACCAGTAATCAAAGAAGACAGCGAACAGGAGTTAAGGCTTGAATCTGAAATGTCACCCACAGGCTCTTGGTTTGAATATGCAGTCCCTAGCTTGCCACACTAGTCTGAAGGCTGTGGGGCTTTCAGGGTTAGGGTCTGGCTTGTAGAAGTACATCACTAGAGCAGGCTTTTGAAAGGTATATCCAGCTTCCTGTTCGCTTCTACGAGAATAACTGCTGTCTCACACTCCAACTGCCATGAACAGGTGTGGTCCTGTTCCCATGCCTTCTCTGAGGAGGAAATTGACTTGAAGAAGGAGGCAGTGAAGTATCATATTCCTGAATGGCCTCGCCTACAGCATTTAACTATAAATCATTCAACACAGTCTCCTGAAAAAAGCATAAAAAGAAAACAGAGGGGACCTGTGGGGTTTGCTGCTGCTGCTGCTTCACGCCAGGCCCAATAACAGGGTGAATCACTAGGATGTTTTCCCATAATTACAGGAAATGAAGAATGGGACAACGATCCCATGGGAGCCTTCAAGTGTTGCTTTTATTTCATGTCACAAGTGTATGACTAACTTTTGTTGCAGAAGAGTTAAGGACGGACCTTACAGACATGCCATTTGCAGCAATTCAGCACATATACAGGCACCCCTTTCTGTGTTTTGGATGGGAATTGAATTCAGGGGCCTTCAGAGATGCTGGGCAAGCACTCTATCACTGAATTATATTTCCCAGTCATTATCTCCACTAATACCAAAGGGTATTTTTCTTGTATCAGACTTTAAAGACAAAATAAAATACAAACAGCTAAGGGGGCTTTGATAAGGACCTATATATAAAGCCAGACATGGTTGCCTAGGCCTGCAATCCCAGCTTCATGGGAAGCTGCAGTAGGAAAATCGAAGCTTCTAGGCTGCACAATGAGTTCTGGGCAACCTTTGGTACATAAACCCTGCCTTAAAAAAAAAGCAGGCCAGGCGGTGGTGGCAGAGGTAGGTAGATCTCTGAATTCAAGGACAGCCTGAGTTACATAGAGAAATGAAATAAAAACAAAAGCAAAAAGAGTTTATTAGTGCTTCTCTTCTCTGATTATAAAATTGTGGAGTTGGAAAGCAAGAGCTGCATGTGGACCTGTGGTCTGCTCTAAACACTGTCCTTACTGATCTCATTAAACTAATTTGGTGAAACAAAACTAACTAGGCATATATAACTGAAAGCTATATCTATATATAGAACCTAAGCTGTTTATACACTGCAACCCTGCAAAAGTATTTCATCTATAGTTTACCATAAGTCATTTACACAGGAGAAATAGTATCTAATATTGTTTTCTGGTTTATGTGTGCACGTGTCAATCCACAGAGGACAAAGGACAGCTTGAGGTGTTGTTCCTCAGGTGCCTTGTTTATTTTTCCTACCATTTATGTGCATCTGTCTGCGTTTGTTAAGTGTGTGTTGCATGTGTTCCAAGTCCAAAGAGCTTGTGGACTAGTTTAGCTGGCCAGTGAGTCCCAGAACTTTCCTGTCCCCACCTCGCCAGTGGTCGACTGCAAGCACTCACTACCATGTCTAGCTTTTTCCCATGGGCTCTGGGGATCAGATTCAGTGTCAACTGAGCTAGCTCCTCAGTCCCAGTATCTAATAAATTACCAGACTTAAGCAACTTGCAAACTTATCAATACAGAGGTGTCTGCCATAATTTCCTATAGTTTTCTGTACTCCCTTCCCATGCTGGGACTCAGAGAAAGAAACTCTTTAGGGCAGCAAATCTGCAGAATGCACAGCAAGCTCCTCTCCCAGCACAGAGTAGAAGACAGAAAAACTGCCTAACCAGCAATTACTTCTCTCAGAATGACCTTCATCTGCTTACCTCCCATGATGAATTGGCAAGTGTTTGCGATGAATCCCATGACTCCCTTCCACAAAAGCATTTGGAGGTTTATGGTACACAGAGGCCAAAGACCCAATGTGGCAGATGAGCTCATCCAGGAGGGTAGGCTCAATGAGGTCTGTCTCCTCAGAGATCAATGGCTTCTCAGACAACACTACTTCTTTGGCTGTCACAGGGTCAGTTGAAAGAAGACGCCAATAAATATAACCCCGATCTCGAAGGTCAGGATTATCAGAATCCTAAGGCAAAGCAAAGGTAAGGACAATTAGATGGATCTGACTCAAAGAGACACCAAAATGCCAGTTTTACAATCAAGGCACTGCTGTGGTGACTTACGCAGATCAGCTATTAAAATGACATTTTACTTGGATTTAGTAATCGTTTATAGCTATAATTCTATATGTCTAATGTTTCAAGGAACTTAAACATATACTGAGATGAGTTAATGTTCAGACTCAAATGCAAAAGCAAGCTGAGAAGAAAAAAAGCCACTTTAATCCAGCAATAGCTATATGGCCTCGGGACATAATAACAGTATTTTAAATTGTAATATTAAGGTCTGGTAAGATAGCCCAGTGGGTAAAGGCACATGCTGCTAAGCCCTGTGACCTGAGGTCAACCTCTGAGACCTATATGGTAGGAGCAAAGAGAACTGACTCCCCACAAGTTGCCAGCTGACTTCTTCAAGCATAGTGTGACATGTGTGTTCTTCGTTCCTCTCTCCTCCCCTCCTCCTCTCTTCCTTTCTCTCTCTCTCCTCTTTCTCTCTACTCTCTCTCTCCTCTCTGTCTCTCTCTCTCATCAGCCTTTTTTAAAAGATTTTTTATTTTACTTGTATCAGTGTTCTGCCTGCATACATGTTAAGTACACTATGTGCATGCAATACCCATAAAGGACAGAGGAGGGCATCAGAACCCCTGGAACAAGAATTCCAAATGGCTGTAAACAGTCATGTTGGTGCTGGGAAATGAATTCAGGTCCTTTACAAGAACAATAAGTACTCTTAACCATTGAGTCATCTCTCTAGCCCTCATGTGTCAGATTAAACAAAACCCAAACTGTTAACATAAGTAGCATGTGGAGGCATGCACCTGTTAATTTCATTACCTGGGACACTGAGACAGGAGGATTGCATGAATGTGAGGGCAGCCTGGGGTATGTGCTGAGAACTGGGCCAGTTAGGGATACACAGTAAGACCCCATCTCTAAATTAATAAAAATTAACAAATATGGCCATAAATATTAGCAGGAATAACTCTAATATACATCTACTTTTCCTCATTTTTTATTTTTACTTATAAGTATATGTTTACTTGTTTATATATGTACTACATGTATGCAGAGCCTCCAGAGACCAGAGGTGGTTATCAGATCCCCTGGAGCTGGAGTTATAGGCATTGTGAGGTACCATGTGGATGCTGCGAATTGAACCCAGTTCCTTTGCAAGGGCAACAAGTGTTCTTAACTGCTGAGCCAACTCTCCAGCCTTATAATTCCCTTTTGGATTCAAATATCTATATGCATCTCCTAAGGAGAAGTCATAGTAATAAAAAAGAGACTACATACGACACAACAACAAACCATTAAAGAACATACAAACGTATGTGCTTTGAAAAGGAGCAACCCTTGAATTTAGTACTCTTTTTGCTGTGGTTTTAAAATAATTTTATGCATGTTCATGCCTTAAAAATAATTTAGACTCTGCTGAGTATAGTGGCACATGCTTTTAATCCCAGCACCTGGGAGACAGAGAAGGCAGTTTACATAGTGAGACCCTGTCTGGGGAAGAAAAGCAAAAACAAATTATAATTGTGCCACACCAAGATTTACAAGGGTATAAAATGCAATGTAAATCTTTCACAATAATCCTATCCCTTCCCACTCTCAACTATGTACCTGCAATAACCATGACTAGCATGCTATATGTGTTTGTCTCAACAGAGCACACATGCTTTTGCCATAGGAACCAGTTTCATATTATACACATTGTTCCATAAGCTACTTTCATAATATTCATACACATAATAAAAGTTAACACCGGGTGGTGGTGGTGCACGCCTTTAATCCCAGCACTGAGAAGGCAGAGGCAGGCAGATCTCTGTGAGTTCGAGGCCAACCTGGTCTACAAAGCGAGTTCCAGGACAGCCTCCAAAATAATACAGAGAAACCCTGTCTCGAAAAACAAAACAAAACAAAAATAAAAATAATAAAAGTTAAAATAAAACTTTTAAATATTTTCAAGAGCACTTAACAAATGAATTTTTAATGTGTAAAATTAGTATTAGGAAAACGACAGCTCAGAACTAGGCAAAGTAATATAGAAGGGATTGAAATTTGATAATATACCATTAGAAACATGAAAAAGATAAAAATGGTTAATATTTGAACCAGATTCTATGTGCAGATACACATTTTAACTGACAATTGTATTAAAGCCAGCTGTTCTCATATTCAATTAAAGACATTACTAACTCTGATAGACTAAAAGTTTATTTTGAGACAGAGTCTCACTAAGTTTCCCAGGTAGACCTTGAACTTGTTATCCTCCTGACTCAGCCTCCCCAGTAGTTGGGATTACAAACCTGTGCCATCAGGTCTGACTGTGACCTGATCTTTAAGGCCAATGGCTACATTCCCAAATTAGAATCCACTTTTCTTCTGATCAGAAATACCTTCTGTGATGGTTAGGGTTAACTGCTAACTTGGTAGAATATGTAATTATCTAGGAGATGGGTCTCCAGGCATGCTGGGGAGGGGAGGTGTAGTATTTTCATTATGGTAACTGATATACATAAAAGACCTTCTTTAACTGTGGGTGGGAGACATGTACAGCTTTTAGTTCCTGACTGCAGATACAATGTGACCAGCTCCCCCATGTTGCTGTTCCTGTGACTTCCGCTCATGTTGGACTATAATGTGAACTGTGAGCCACAATAAACCCTTTTTCCCTTACATCGCTTGTCAGAGTATTTTTGTTTGTTTGTTTGTTTGAGACAGGGTTTCTTTGTGTAGCTGTGGCTGTCCTGGCACTCACTCTGTAGATCAGGCTGGCCTTGAACTCACAGAGATCTACCTGCCTCCCGAACGCTGGGAACAAAGGCAAGCACCAGCAGGAGAATTGTCATATAATTTGAGTATCAAAACATTTAAGGAAACAGCATAAGCACTTTAAAGTTATCTCTGAGAGAAAGGCACCTCTCTAAAAGGTAGAAGAAGCACACACATTTCATATGAAAGCTGATGTCACCTAGAAGATAGCAGACTCGATGTTATTTTCATGTATGTTTTATCAGCAATATATAATCTAAATTAAAATTTCAAAATTATCATGTAAACTGGAGTCAGTCGATCCATTTTTTAATTTTTAAATTTATTTTATGTGTATATGTGTGTGCCTAGGTGTACTTATGTGTGCCACATGTATGCAGGAGCTTGCATACATCAAAGAGGTGTGGGATCCATGGACATGGAGTTACAGTTGGTTGTAAACTACGTATGGGACCAAAACCAGGTTCTCTGTAAGAACAACAAATGCTCTTAAGTGCGGAACCATTTCTCTAGTCTCAGTCAACCGAACTAAAAGCTGCATTAGCCAAATATAATTTAGGAGAACTTGTTAAGAGGCAGAATTTTAATAATTTCAGAATTAAAATCTGCCCCAAGTGAGTCTTCTTGGGAAGTTTCCTGGCTAGTTTTATTTCAATTTAACACAAGCTCCAGTCATCTGTGAAAAAAAAAAATGCCTCCATGTACAGGGCGGTGGTGACACACACCTTTAATCTCAGCACTCCAGGGGCAGAGGCAGGTGGATCTCTGTGAGTTCAAGACCAGTCTGGTCCACAAGATCAGACTGTAAGCAAGCATTGTAGGGCATTTTCTTAATTAGTAATTGATAGGGAAGGGCCCAGCCCATTGTAGAAGAGGCCAAGCCTGCGTCAGTGATTCTGGGTTCTGTAAGAAGGCAGGCTGAGCAAGCCATAAGGAGCAAACAAGCCTGCAAGCAGTACCCCTTCCATGGGCTCTACATCAGCTCCTGCCTCCAGGTTCCTGCCAGGTCTGAGTTCCTGCCTGGGTTCCCTCAGTAGACTGTGATTCAGGATGTGTGAGGCAAATAAAGCCTTTCTTCCCCAAGATACTCTTCATTGTGAAGGTCAACACAGCAAAAGCCGCCTTGAATAAGACAAGAAGTGTTATCGATCCTCACCATCTGAAGCAGCACAAATCATCCCTCCAGATGCTCTCTCACCTGTGTGGCCAAGCTCAAGACCTGTTGGACCAGCTCCTGTGTTTCTGATGGCTTCTTGAGAAACAGCTTCACTATGGCGGTAAGCAGAGTGAGCTGCACCTAAAAAACAAAATTCAGCAAAGTAAATGAGAGGGGGTATCACATTTCCTCAACTCTGAATTACTGATGTTGTTAAGAGATGAAAGGCGAAAGCTCAGCCAATGGAATGAACAGCAGCCAAAGGTGTCTCTGAAATAAAGTAATCAACTGAACATTCACCAGCCTCTTATTTTCTAGTTGCATTTTTGTATCAAAAATGGCTTGTTTCTTGGCCAGATTTTCAACTGTTTTTTTTTCTTTTTAATAAAACATTTATTGTTATTGTGTGCACATGATCTGTGTGCACGGTGTGTGAGTACATGTATCACAGTGCACATGGGGAGCTCAAGGACAACTTTGTAAAGTCAGTTCTCTTCTTTCACCTTTACACAGGGTCCAGGGATCAAACTCAGATTGCCGGGCTTGTGCAGCAATCACCTTTACCCTCTGAGCCAGCCCTCAACTGTATTTATTTTTTTAAGTACATACATTAAGTAATAAAACTGGCTCTTGATCAAATCGTTTATTATTTACTTTAGCCAAAGCTACAAATTTGAAGGACTTATGAAATCACTTGTCATACTGGGATAAGAGCCAAAACAGAATTATGTCAGATTAGCGCCAATTAGAGGGAGCAGGCTGCTCTACTATTAATATTAAGCCTATTAAAATTACTATATTGGATTACATACACAAACTTCTATTTGCTATGAGCACAAATGCCAGAGAGAAAGGGCTTAATAATCTGGCTGCTTCTCTGGGCCTTGGACTCTAATTTTATAGGAGAGAGGGACAGATGGGGAGAAATCTAATCATCCACAGAGAATTCTTTCAAACCTCGCCATGCTGTACTATAATGAGCAACAGCAAATGCTAAGGACAATATGTAATCATCTTTAAGTGACAGAAAATAAGAATCTGATTACTGCTCTAAGCCACTGTAGGGAAGCTCACTTCTGGAGTAGTACCCACAGAAGGTCAGAAATGAGGCTACATAGGTGCTTCTCGCTCTCTGGGGACCGAGGCCCAGCAGCCTGTGTTTCAAAAAGTCCCCAAATGTTCCAATGGCCATTAGAGTCTATGAACCACTGGTCTAAGCTCTGCAGTTCTCTTACTCAAGAAACCAGGACTAATCAAAAGGACCATCTCCTCTGAGAAAGAGAAACCAGGACATATAAATGAACACAAGATACAAACCACTGTTTCCCATTCTCAGTTATCTTCCTGGAGAGATGTAGGACACAGGATAGAAGAGAACCTACCTGGGTGCTTTCATCATGAAAACCCTCCAGGAAGCTCTCTAGTAATTCATCCGCATTATCAATTCTTTCGGCATACTCTCCTACAATCCATATCATAGCTGCTCGAGCGTCGGGCTCATCCAGGGAGTCCAAGTTCTCACAGAGAGTGGCAATAATACTTTCATACCTGTTATAACAAATGGACAAAACTAAGAACTGTATTTAACAGTGGAAGCTAGAGTCAAAGTCATATACCAGGAACTCCAAGCCAAATCACCAACCTACGAAGGTTTTTAGTCAACAGTAAGTCGGAAATATATGGCTTAAATTTTTCTTCAAATATGCCTTAAAAATATCTTTTAGATCTCCTCTATAGTTTTGTGTATATGAGTGTTTAGCTCACATGTATGTGTGTGTGCCAACACATGCAGGCCTGGTACCCACAGAGGTCAGAAGAGGGCAGAGGGCACCGGATCCCGTGGGAATGGAATTACAGGTTACTGTGAGCCACCATTTTTCATCTTTCTTTCTTTCTTTTTTTTTTTTTTTTTTTTTTTAAGACAGGGGCTCTCTGTATAGCCCTGGCTGTCTTGTAATTTGCTATGTAGATCAGACTGGCCTTGAACTCATAGAAATCCACCTGTCTCTGCCTCCTGAGTGCTGGTACTAAAGGCATAAGCTACCATGCCCAGCTCAATTCTGCTTTAACAACTAAGCTTTAAAGTTCTACAAGAGTTCATGAGACAGACTTTCACAAGAAAAATAAATTAACTTGTGGTATAAGAAAATCCTACTATCTTGTATCTAAAACCAATCTTTCTTTAAGCACACTAGAGAATTTTCCTAGTATGCATTTTGCCTTCATGGTAGAAAACATTAGAAATCTCACTTTCCTTTTAGGAAGATAGAGTTAGAAAACAATAGGAAACCATAGTCCTGTCCCTATTGCACTTGTCATTCTATTTTCTATTTGTATGTTTTTACATGTCTGTGTGCACAGAGGCCAGAGGTTGAGATGAAGTATTTTCCTTAACAGCATGTTCTATTTGAATACAGGTAAAGTCTCGTTCTGAAAATAGAGCTCCTCAATGCAGCTAGTCTAGTTAGCCAGCTTGCCCAGATATCCTGTCTCCTGGCACTAGGTTTACAAACGGGCCATCAAGCAGGCCTGACTTTTTCTATGGGTGATGGAGATTGGGCAGCAAGAACCGTATCTGAGCAAGCTCCCCAACCCCATTTACTTTTTGTAAAAGAGATATTTATGTTCTAATGTGCACATTCTAAAGACTTGCTTCTACTAAGAAATTCCAAAATTTAATTTTATTCTTACAGACCTATGACCCTCTCATGTTTACCAACCACAATGAATCTATTGCCTTCACTAATATAAATTTAAAAATTCTATTACTGAGGACTGAAGCTAGGCTCTAGCACATGCTAGGCAAACTCTTTCCCAGTAAGCTTATCCCTAGCCTTTTATTTCCTTTGTGTTTTTAAAATAGGACCTTGCTAAGTTGCCGAGGTTGGCTTGAACTTGCACTTGTCTTGCCTTAGCCTCATGAGTAGCTGAGATTATAGGCCTATGACACCAGGTTCAGCTGGCTAATGTAATTTTAAACATTAGAATGAGATACAATAAATTAATGTGGATAACTAGTATACTAGGATCAAGTATCTGCCCTGTTCCTACTTATTAAACCAGGCTTTGACTGTTTTCTTAAAATTACAGTCATAACCCCTTATTTACACAAGTATTACACATTTCTCTGTTGATCATATTGAGATACACACTTTTTTTTTTTAACCTATAACAAACAGTTTAGAAACCTGATCCTCCATTTTTTGGGGAAGTTCAGTAAAAGGTGGTAGTCCTCTTTCTAAAAATAACACTTCTCAAAACATACACACACAAACATGCATTCTGAACTACTTGTCTTCAGAATCAAAGTATTTGTTTATTATTTTTGTTTCATAAACTAAGAATCCTCAATCTGAAAACTTTGTGATATGAAAATACAGACTGTATGGAGGCAGCTACAACACTTCAGAAAGGGGGGGGTGTAATTCATTGCAATAAATTCTGCAACTTCCCACAAAGTAGCAGGTGCCATGCAAAGTAAACAGCATGGTTATTACTCCCCTGCTTTTGTGAAAGAGTGGCTGCATGATCCATGTATATTAAGACCCTTCTGAGAGGTTAAAGTATGTAATCACCTGTCTAGCATAAAGTAAGAATGTGCAGACAACAGGGAACACAGGGTTCCTGTTTAATGGTAACTGCCAACAGACAATATATACTCAAGCAGAGCTTCATTTTTACAAAAAATAACAAAGCAGCTAGGTATGGTGGCTCATGCCTGCAATCCCAGCACATGGGGCCAATTGAAACACCATCCCATTTCTAAATAAGAAACTTAGTCTCTGTTAGCTACCCACTATGTATCTCTGACTTTTAGTAAAGTATCTATTGCAACCAGTTATAGTCAATTTCAAAGTGCCTTACTTAAACATTGATTTGAGGAAGAAGGTTACAAGAATTTTGACATACTTGTTGGGGTATTTGCGGAAGATGTCCCTGATGACAACAATTGCCTCTTGAACCACATAATTTACTTTGGTCTGGATTAAGTCAAGCAATGTGCTTACACAGCGTTCTGCTGATTGCTAGGGAGAGAAACATCAAAACATAAGTCAGGTGATCTATCTAATAACACTGTCTCAACACAAAAAAGAAAAAAAAAAGGAAACATACAGATACATTCACTAAATTAAACAGGCACTGAGTTTGCTAAAGCTATACTAGAGGCTTGATCATCTGTTATATATCAACAGTAGAAAGTCTAGGAATATACTTTTATTTATTAGAAAACAAATTGAAAAATGTTTTGAATTTGGTTTTGTGTATTTTGCTAAGAGCAAACTAAGGACCTCACACAAGCTAATCAAGAGCTCTACCACTGAGCTATACCTCTATCTCCCAGATAATTCAGTTAAATGAATAAACATTAATCTGGATAACTCGAAGAACAGAAATAAGAAAAAATTAGCCAGGGTATGAAGAAAGAAAGGCAATTAAAGAATAAATCTAAGTGGGAGGTCCTTAACTGGAATTCTTAGGAGAATAGAGACTGCATGGGGTGGTGTTGGTGTTTTTAAAAACAGATTTCTTCAGTGGTCTTTTTTTACCCTCCCCTCTCCTCCCTCCCCTGTGTGTTTGTGTGTTGTGGAATATTTGTTTAACCAGGCAGACATGTGTTATATTTGTTTAACTATATAAAATTAACCTGGGCTCAGAGAGGTGAGGTTAGCAACTAGTTTACCGAAAGTAGCAGGGAGGAGCATAGCATGGGTTTTTTAAGTGGAGATGGTGTGGAAGGAGGGAGGCTTCTGGGGATGCCAGCAAAGAGAAAGTTAGCAGTTGCTATCCTAACTCTCTAAGCTCACAGATTTTCATCCTAGCCTTTGAATCTTGAGTTTTATTGGAACCATAGAGATTTAGTTAAAGCTACCTTTAGTTATAAAGCTACCTTTAATGGCAGCAACAGAGACACTGTCTAGGGGAACAGGAACCCCCCCCCCCGTTAGTAGTGTAAGCCACAGGCACTGTGAGGGAGAGGAGACAGTACTTGTGTGCACATACACATGCTAGTGCTCACAAAGAGCCCTGGAGGCTGGAGTTATGGAGCCTGTGAGCTGCCTGAGGTGGGTGATGGGCTCTCATGACACATCAGCAAACACTCTTAACCACTGAGCCATCTCTCTGACCTCCTGCACAGAGTGTCTCCTAAAAAGGAATGCCCAAATTTTGTATGGACTTACAAAATACAAATATAAGGTCCATATTTTTCATTTTCTTTTCAGTTATCTATGGCTCAAAATATCCTAGAGTTTAATCTATTACTCTTTTACTAATTGAAGATGAGATACAAACTGATCAATTTATTTATACTGCAATAATTTTTTTAAGGACAGGACTGTGAGAAAAATACCCATATCCAAGGCTAAAGCTCTCACTTATCACAATGTACTTTCCCAGATCACTAAAATATATGCCTGTTAGGATTCAAAAAAGCATACAGCATTACCTAAAACTCATGAATATCACCAGGCCTCCAGATTTAGTCATCTAAAGGGGATGGAGGTATGAGTACAACCATTAAGATACAGTCCAGTCTCTTGGAAAGGCTGTAAGTCTAACAAGCAATCAATATGTGGTATTAGGGCCAGCAAGATGGATCATTGGATAAAGGAACTTGCTACTAGGCCTGCTGACCTGTTTGATACTCAGGAGCCTTATGGTAGAAAGAAAGAACCAATTCCTATAAGTCCTCTGACCTCTACATATATACCCTGGCATATACTGCCCCCTCAAACAATAAATATATAAATGTAAAAAATAAATAGTATCAAAATAATTTAAAAACAAAACAAAACACAACACATAAGGACACACATTACTGAAAAGACCACAAAATTAAAGCCAGGCATAGTGGTTCGTGTCTAGAATCCTACATTTGGGAGACTGAGGTATAGGGAATATGAGTCTGGGGCTAGCCTGGGCTAACAGCAAGACCCTTCTGAAAAAGTAAAGACAACAAGCTCCCCAAAATGCTTAGCAGAGGAGTGAGATGTGTTGAAAAGATAAAAATCTGTTACTAACAAATCAATAAACAATAAAATTGTTTATAGATATGGACATAGAAAGAACATAATACTTTTTGGGAAGTGGGTCTAGGTAGAAAAGGGGGAGAGCCAGGGACAGTGGCTTTTCATTAAAAATTCTTTAATCTGGGGCTAAGAAGACTCAGGAGTTAAGAGCAAAAATGGCTACTCTTCCAGAAAACCTGGGTAAGATTCCCAGCACCTACATAGTGGCTCATGACCAACGATGGTCTGTAACTCTAGTTCCAGGGGGTCCAACACCCTCTTCTTTCTTACAGAGGTACTTAGCACACATGGAGTACACAGACATAATGCAGACAAAACATCCATAGACATTAAATTATTTAGTTCATTAAGCATATGCTTTATTATTTTGATAAACTTCAAAACATACATACTGTAAAGTAATGTGCACTCAGAATCCCATACTGTGTGATCTCAACTCCTCTGGAGCCTTACCTCCACTTTGATGGCACACCTTCCAATGGCCCTCACAGCTTTTCGAACAAAGTCCACGTCAACCTCAGTGGCGTATTCCTTCAACTCTGCTAGGACCTGTCAAATAACCAAGAAGTGGATAATCTTTAAAAAGTCTCAAACAGCAGTTTTATGCCTTCTGAATGCCAGATCTTAAGCTCTAAGTCAGTATAAATTTGAGATTGCTTAAGGTCAGACCTGAGCAATGTTGGCTTGGGATGCAAGACGAATCATGATGTCCAACTTCTCTAGTTTAACATAGATAGGATCATTGTACTTCACAAAGAAGACTTTGATTTCCTGCTTCAAGATTTCAGGCCTGTGACACACAAAAACACAATAAAGGAAGATGACAGAAGGCATTTACCGACATATCCAGCTCAGTCTTTCTGCCTGCCCACTTCAGGAGGGAGAAAACCCCTCACATGTGGCCTGTATAAGCCTCTCTTGTACCTACCCCTCCCTCCGCCCTCCCATACAGTACAATGCTACTATATAACATTTTTGCTTCCAACTATATAACATTTTTGCTTCCACGTAGTAAAGCTGGTTGTCAAGCTCAGTGCCTGGCACATTCTAGGCAAGCATTCTCACACAAAGCTACACTTTTCTCCATCAATTCCTTCTGACATCTGATTTGTGTCCTCTCAAAGGAAAGGGGGTATGTGTTACCACAGAGAAGTGCTGAGGAAGAACAACTTGGTTCTCAACTACAACCTTCCATGGGTAGCATGTCCAAAAGAAGCACTTAAGAAAGCAACCCTGCCCGGGCGTTGGTGGTGCACACCTTTAATCCCAGCACTCGGGAGGCAGAGGTAGGCAGATCTCTGTGAGTTCGAGACCAGCCTGGTCTACAAGAGCTGGTTCCAGGACAGCCTCAAAAGCCACAGAGAAACCATGTCTCAAAACAAAACAAAAACAAAAACAAAAAGAAAGAAAGAAAGAAAAAAAGAAAGAGAAAGAAAGAAAGAAAGAAAAAAGAAAGAAAGAAAGAAAGAAAGAAAGAAAGAAAGAAAGAAAGAAAGAAAGAAAGAAAGAAAGAAAGAAAGAAAGAAAGAAACCTGGAGGGGAGTGGTGGCACACATACCTGGCACACACCTTTACTCCCAGCACTAGGGAGGCAGAGGCAAGTGAACCTAAAGGCCAGCCTGGTCTACAAAGTAAGAGCCTGTTTCCAAAAAAATAAAAACAACAAATAACCCTGAACTGCAACATCAGACAATTACTACTGAAAGAATGGTAATAACTGTAAATTGCTATTCCTGGACAAGATGTAATACTATACAACATTTTCACTTCCACACAGTAAAGAACAAGAGATTAGCATCGGTCTATGGAGCATTTATTTTAAGCTTAATTCAAAATCACAAACATTTTAAAGTCACTATTTCCCCACCTTTTCTGAACAATTAAGTTGATGTTTCTCAGGGCGACATACTGCACTTCTGGCTCCCCAGACAGCAGAGTGACAAGTGGAGGCGCTAACTTCTTAAGCAGCATATTGTAGTAGTCAGAGTCCTTGGGTAACAACTCTAGGAATTTCATTAGGACTTTCACGGCTGAAAGCACCACTGCAGAGTTGGCATGGGATAGTCGAGGAGTTACTCGTTCACAGATGCTGGGGGCAGAAAGGGAAAATGAGTATCTTGGGTTATCTTTGCTCAGTTCATTCCATAAAGTAACACTTCAGAGTTCCATGGCCCAAGTATCAAGAAATCAAAGATTCAGTTAGAAAAGTCAAAGCTCCATGCTTAGGTCAATATGGGATCCAACACCGCAGAAGCTTCGTGCCCAGCAGACTATAGGCAGAGCAGGGGCATTAGAAGACTTCAGAAGCCAGTGACAGGGTTATCCAAACCAGAAGGGAACTAGCAATCCCCAGACACTTGTACTCACACCAGTTATCTTTTTGATTTCAGTCCTCTGTCTCCCCACATAATGTCAGGGTTCCCTGCCTCACAGCTCATCTCTAATCAACCTATGGGAAGTCAAACCAAGTATCCTGAAAATTGATTCACAGTGGGAGGCAACACCCACCCAAGACTTAAAGAGGAAGTGGGGTGGCAGGTAAAACTACACAGCCTCACGCTTTCACGTTTGAGTTTGGTTTTTAGTATCAGAATATTATTGCAATGTCCCCTCCTTCTTCTAGCCCCTACTACCTATGCTTAGACACCTTGTAGAATCTTGACATTTACACTTGCAGTGTTCTCTGAAATCAACTTAACTTTGCTAGTAGGCAACACCGGGAGGGACTGTTTAAAATGTTAAAGAGACAAGTGGCTGCTCACTCTCTTCTTCTTGTGTTCACATGGCTGACTCCTGACCTCTTCCAGGCCTTAAGGAAAAGTCTACCCTCTCATAGAGACATTCTTGATTAAGAGAATAATTCCAAAAAGTAAAATCCTGCTGGGTATGGTGTGCACAGCTTTAATTCCAGCTCTTGGGAAGCAGTGGCAGATGAATCTCTGAATTAAGAGGCCATGGTCTATATGGTAAGCTTGAGTCCAGCCAGGGCTACATATCAAGATCCTGTCTCAAAGAACAAATAAACAAACAAAACAAATACTGAGGCAGGAGGATCACAAGTTTATGGCCAGCCCAAGCTACATGCATAGACCCTGACTAAAAACAAACAAAAACTATGGAGATGGGGAGCGGGATTCTCTTTATAGTCTACTACTCTAAAACATCTGGTATTTCTTGGATTCTTGTATTACCTCTGTTAGCAGTCATGGCATATGACCTATTATATATTTTATTGAATATCTATACTGTATAAACAAATACCCCCACTCCTCAGAATGAATAGTACATGAGGACGATGAGTTTTGTCTTTCACTGTAGAATCCTCACAGCCTAGGACAGAACCTAACACATGGCATGAGCTTAAGTATTTGCTGAGTGAAATAATGAGTGTAATGTCAATGGCCAACAGAAAATAAAATTCTTGGTAAAGTTCTCTCCAGAATATAATTGTACTTTCAGTGATGGAAAGAAACTACCAGCAGTATTAGTTAAGTCCAGAGGGAATCATTTCCCAGATAAGTGAAGAGAACTTACATTCTAGTAGCTTGGGAATCAGCTTCAGCCAGGCAAGGAAGATTCTTGTCTACCATAATTAAAATATGTCAACTTTAATGAAGAGCCAGAAATTCTTCAGAAGTACTTTGCCTAGTCTAGTGCTTACATATACAACATGCTCAATTTAAAAATGGGTAGTAATTCCAACTTTGTAAACTGAAATCTGCAACATGAAAGTGGTAAAGGGCTGAGGAGAACAATCAAGATGTTCTCAAAAGCTCCAAATATAATCTAACATGACTTCTATATACAATGGCAAGACACATATGTGTTGCTGATTTTAATATACTTAACCTAATACTAAAGTATAGGTACTGTTCAGTTCAATAACCAGTATGAAGAATCTAATAGAATAGACAGTGTGTCATTACAAGGACAGATATAACTTTTGTTTACCAAATGACCAGGATTTGAGAGATGGGTGACAATATGAAGGAGGTTTTGGCAGAAGTATATATAGAAACAAATTCTTTTTGATGTAGTTTAGCACTCACAATGTCCCTAAATCCAGTGAAAAAAATTTGCTGGGGATAGCAGTGTCCTCCTAAATCCTCTGCTTTCCCCAGCCTGATAGCCTCTTATTTGGTCAGGCAAGACCATCACTAATGTCCAGTAAGACAGACTGACCTCTGAGCTTCCCGGTCATCTTTAGGGTTGTAATTAGACAGGCAGTCCAGGATGAAAATCTGTCCCCATTCAGTGCACTCATTCAGGGCTGTGAGCAGCTTATTGATATTCTGAGGGTTCAGATCAAGTAAGTTGCTGTTTGGATGAGATTCACTGATCTCAGACAATGCTGCTACAGCATTAGCCACCACCTGCAAAAGAAACAGATAATGACTTTGATATACTCAGAAAACCAAAACTATGACACACAAACAACCTTGGTAAGATCACTTCACAGCTCTCAATTCACTCCTAAACATTTTACCCAGTTAGACAGAAATAGATGAGCTACTTGCAAAACATACATCCAGACACCAATGATAGCATATACAACTTCTGAGCAGTCGGACCTCAAAATTAAAGTAATTCCTCTATTAGTAGAGTCACAGGTGATTCACTACTGAAACACTAACCACTGTAGCAACACTCAAAACTGTTGCTAAAATCGAGACACATCAATATCTATAAAAACCAAAGCTAAATTGGTGCTGGCTCATACCTGTAATCCCAGCACATGAGTGGCTGAGGTAAAGAGGATACTTTCAAGTTTGGGACTATCATGGGATAACTACAAAGTGAATTCCAGGTCAGCCTGGACTATAGAATGAGACCTTGCCCCCCCCCCAAAAAAGATAAAGATAAAGTAAAATCTCAATAAATATTTGCATATTTTCATTATGTAGCAGAGAAAAATATAAGCAAAATTATAAGTACATGTGGACAACAGGGAGACACTGTCAACTATTCAGTATTATCACATACATTAGAGTAAGACTAAGAAGACTTGAAACTAGAGTTCATTGGTACACAATGCTAGCAGAACACATAATCTCTGTACCATGTAGTTTGCTCATCTGGAAAATTTCATCTACCCCACAGACTAATTTTAGCTTGAGGAGAAAAGTCCAATGATTGTTATACATTAAGAAATGTTTACAGAGTTGGAGGGATGGCTCAGCTGTTGGAAGCACTGGCTGCTCTTCCAAAGGACCTGAGTTAAATTCCTAGTACCTACATGGCAGCTCACAATTGTCTGTAACTCAAGTTCCAGGGGATCTGACACGCTTGCACAGGCATACATGCAGGCAAAACACAAATGCACATAAAATAAGAATAAATCATTTAAAAAATATTTTTCATGTTAGGCATTTAATCCCAGTACTTGGGAGGCAAAGGCAGGTGGATCTCTGAGTTTGAGGCCAGCCTGGTCTACTGAGCAAGTTCTAGGACAGTAAGAGATACACAGAGAAACCCTGTCTTGAAAAACAAAAACAAAAACAAAATTTTCATAAAGCCTTATACAAATTTAAGGTGATTGTGCTCATCATCATGAAAGTAAACAGAAAGTAACTATCTAAGAAACAGTGATTTAATACACAGTACAATGTAGCAATAGCCATCATTATGTAGAGGATAAGGATGGCAGAACAGAATTGTCTTAAGCTATAATTTGGTGGTCAGAACAAAAAGTCCCACATAAAAAGAATCAAAAACTCACTTAGTAAATCATAATTAGACATTTTGCTGCTACAAAACAAACCTGACCTTGTGCATGAGATTTAGTAAAACTAGAATGCATAAAGAATGAAACAATGCCTATAACCCCAGCATGGGAGGTGGACACAGAGGATCCGTGGTTCAAGGTCATCTTCTGCTACATAAGTCTGAGGATAGCCTGGGGTACATGAGACCCTGTCGGAAAAAACAAACAACCCAAACAAACAAACAAAAACAAAACCATTCCCAGGTGCTTCACATGCAGAGAAAATAATTTATTTCCCATGCATAGTAGGCTTCATTGACCTTTTTTAGAAAAAAAAATGCAAAATTCTATGTCAACTGCTTATTTTGACTGCTCTGTCAACACATCCAACTTTGGTCATCAATTTAAAACCAACCTCTTACCATAATTACCATTTCTGTCAATGCATCTCCCCACTCCCACTGTGTGTGTGTGTGCATGTGTGTGTGTGTGTGTGTGTGTGTGTGTGTGTGTGCGCGCGCGCGCGCGCACGCGTGCTGTTTAAAGTTAAATAGAAGGCTTGGTAATAGAAAATGAAATGAAAAGATGAGAACTAAGGAACTAAAAATAGACACAGAGAAAACAGAAGGATACTAAACACAATGAGGAATTAGAATCCCCTCATTACCATTACAGATGATTAGAAATTGAAGCAAGTGTGTAATGCAGCTAATGAAGGGTAAATAGGCAATATCTACTTACTGTCATATTAAAACAAGAAAGGGAATACTGAAGGTCAGCCTAATAAAATATACAGAAAGTTCAGATCATGTTGAACAAAGCCTGTAGCGGGGTAAGAGATCACTGATCAAGTCACTGCCAAAGTGACAGGGCAGAAGAGATGCTCCCCCACCCTGCACCAGACTTCCTATTCCTGTAAAACTCCCCGAGGTTGCTTCTACCTCTTCACTGTCATCTTCCAACCAATTCAGACTCTTGGGTTTCCAGAAATTACCCAAGGCAGGCTCATGGTGGAGTGCTACATTCTCATTCACAGTCAGTAAAGTGTGCTCCCCACACTGTGATGAACTTGACACCAGCCAATCACACCAGAGGCAGGTGAAGAAAGACTGAGTTCATGTCAACAAGTGGGTAGCTGGTGTATACCAGGCCTCTTTCTTGTCAATGCTTCTACAATCTGTATTTCTTTGAAATTGTATATAATGCTGCCTGGCTTTGAAAATAAAATGTAAAGACAGAATGACAAGTTAGAATTTACTTCTTCCCAAAGAACCTTCTCCGAAGAAGAATACATCAATGTAGAGACATGGAAAAAAGTCCCCAAAGAGCAAGCTCAGTCAGCGGTGAACATCTTAGCATCCCAACAGTGAAGCAAAGATACACTTCCCTCAGTCACACATCACTTTGAATTAGAACTATTAAGACAAGTCTAACATTTTCTCCCTAGGAAATTATCATTTATCCTAGGAATGCTGCTATAATCTCAGAACGATTAAGAGCACATAAGGGGGGCTGGAGAGATGGCTCAGAGGTTAAGAGCACTGACTGTTCATCCAGAGGTCCTGAATTCAATTCCCAGCAACCACATGGTGGCTCCAGTCATGAGATCTGGTGCCCTCTTCTGACCTGCAGGCATACATGCAGACAGAACACTATATACACATAATAAATAAATAAAATAAAATAAAATAAAGATTTTCTTTTTAAAAAAAAAGAACATATAAGGGGGAAAAAGGTTCTAAAGGAAGTTTTTTTTTTTTTTTTAAGTACATCTGTAGCCACATATGGCCATACACACCTGTAATCCCAGCACTCAGGATGTGGAGGCAGGAGAATTAGGAATTCAGGGCCAGCCTCAATTGCATAAGCCCCTGATTCAACACCAGAGCGGGAGGGAAAGAACATATAAATGGGAGACTGAGCTTTCTGGACATGTACAAACTGATTCCTAAAACGCTGGCATCTAGGATTGGAAAGACTGCTCAGCAGTCAATGGGCCGCTCTTCAGAGGACCTGGGTTAGATACCCAGTACTCACATACATGGGTGCTCACAATCACACCTTTTTCTGGCCTACACACGCGTGCATGCACATGCACACACACATACACACACCTCACGTGACTAACTGGGAAGAAGAAGGGGTTAAATGAGAGAGGGGTAAGATGACAAGGGGGCACCTATGCAGCTGGGCATTAGTGACGCACACCTTTAATCCCAGCACTGGGGAGGCAGAGCCAGGTGGATTTTATATATATGAATGTTTTGCCAGTATGTATGTATATGCACCACATATATGCCTATTGCCCAAGAAGGTCAGAGGAGTTCTTCTGGAACTAGAGTTAAATGGTTGTGAGCTACCACAGGGATGCTGGGAATGGAATTCAGATACTCTTAGCCACTAGTCATCTTCAGTCCTATAATACATTCTTTTCACCCTCTTATCTCACCATCATGTCCTTTTGTTTTCTCTTAAAAACAGTCTCAAGCCGGGCGTTGGTGGCGCACACCTTTAATCCCAGCACTCGGGAGGCAGAGGCAGGCGGATTTCTGTGAGTTCGAGACCAGCCTGGACTACCAAGCGAGTTCCAGGACAGTCTCCAAAGCCACAGAGAAACCCTGTCTCGAAAAACCAAAAAAAAAAAAAAAAAAAAACCAGTTTCAAAAGTTTTCCAAATAAAAATGTTGCCATTAAAAGAGCAAACTTTCTAGAATTTCTAAAACACAGCACCACAGCACGATAAGAAATGCGTTCGTCATTACTATGTTTATTCTACACTGAGATCAGCATTAAGTGCTTTGAGAGCCTTTGTCTAAAGTTCACAACAGCTCTATGCATAAGCACTTTGTCACTCCATTTTGAAGACGAGGACAACAAAGCTCAGGGAGAACACACAGCTAAGAAGGATCAAACCAGGGTAGCACATGGAGAAGATGTGCTTTACTAATTAGTTTCACTTTATGGGAGTGACTGAAGGCCTGGAAAATGGAGACCACAGGGGGTCTGTAGTAAGCCAGAGGGGTTGAAAACTGAGCTCAACACTAAAGAGCAAAGCACGCATGGCACTGCTGACAAGGGAGTCTCTCAAACAGTAGGTCCTGATAAAATGTTAGCTGTAGAAAGAAAATCCAAGATGTCAGAGGGCAAAACCAAATTAATCAAGGAAGAGACTAACATGACCAAAACTCTGGAGAACAATTCATTCAAAAGTGCATTGTCTTCCTGCAAACATACTTATCAAACGATGCTTCTAAAATTCTGGTATTTGTAACGAAATCATGGAAGCTGTTTTCTTGCAGCTCCTGGTGTGTCTTCATTCCGAAGACAAGCTTACTTACAAAGTGAACTAGTAGAAGCCACAACTGAAATTATGCTTAATTCTAATGTTATCACAAGATTTTATTCTATCAAAATGCATGGGTATTAAATTAATGCGGATAATGTTGATCTTGGCGTAATGTCTACTTTATAATTATAGTAGCAGCTACCTTCTGGCCATATGCCAGGTACTTTAATAGAGTACTTTAACAGAGATCCACCTGCCTCTGCCCCACTGCCCCCCTGCCCCCCTGCCCCTGCCCCTGCCCCTGCCTCTGCCTCTCAAGAGCTGGAATTAAAGGCATGTAACACCACCACCAGCCAGACTCTTTTATTATGAGGATAAAATGTAAGTCAAGAGCTAACAATGCTTGGAGTTGTATCAGCTCTGAATACATCTTAACTGCCTATAATTCCAGCTCTAGGGACTCCTATTCCCTTTTCTCGACTCTGAGGGACCCCACACTCACATGCATGTGTGCACACATATGCACACACACACACTTAAAAATACACACATGGGGCTGGAGAGATGGCTCAGAGGTTAAGAGCACTGACTGCTCTTCCAGAGGTCATAAGTTCAATTCCCAGCAACCACATGGTGACTCACAACCATCTGTAATGAGATCTGGTGCCCTCTTCTGATGTGTACATGGAGGCAGGGTGTTGTATTCATAATAAATAAATAAATAAATAAATAAATAAATAAATAAATAAATAAAATGCACATACGTAATTAAAAATAAATTTTTAAAATATAAAAAAACTTAGGACAGGCCTGGTTAATGCATATCTTTAATCCAAGCACTTGAAAGGCAGAGACAGGCAGATTTCTGTGCGTTTGAGGCTACCATGGTCTATATAGTGAGTTCCTGGCCAGCCCAGGCTACATAGAGAGACCTTTTTAAAAAAAAAAAAAAAAAAAAAAGAGTGAGTTCCAGGACAGCCAGGGAGGTTACACAGAGAAACCTTGTCTTGATCAGCCTCTCCATGCCCCCACACACCAAACCAAAAGATTCTGAAGTCTTTTCTGCAAATGTTCTGAGCTTTCCTCTGGAGGAAGCCATTATGTACGGTGAGGGTCTCATGTCCTTTAAGACAAGCTAGTCTTGGCTGGTACAGTGCTGCCACCATGTGGGACAGCCTGAGAAAAGGTGGAAGAAAATCACTCTAACCGAGGATAAGGACTCATACACATAATTACAGGAAGAGGACTGATGACTTATAACAGTATACAGATATACAGATGTATCCAAACTCTAACCCATTTTGAAAAAGTGAAAACTCAACAGACCTAAGCGTGTGTGGTAAGTATATACTTAAGTTTGTGTCTTTATATATATCCTTGATGGTAGTGATGAGGAATAGGTTTGGGACTCAGAACAAGGCCGCAAGGATGCAATCCTGGCTGCATTACAACTAGCCTTAGCACATTGAGACAGTTCAGCCACTGAGTGCACATTTCTTAATCTGAAACATGGAAAGACTTCTATTTCAGACAGACATTAAAAACGAAGTTGAAATATTTTACATCATTATGTGTAGCACACAGGCATTACTCTTTTCAAGTGACACAGAACCATGGCCTGAGGAGTTTCTGAGGTATTGGAGCTAGTGTGCTAACACACCATCACTATACCTCAGATGCTAATGACCACTCATGTACTTGGTCTACTTGCTATTTGTATCTGATTCCACTGAAAAAGGAAAACCAAGGTGCTAATTCTAGCATTTAGATAAAGTTACGTTTTGGTAACTAAGTCTAAGGGGGTGTGAAGAGAAGCTACCCAGAATGTGAGTTTCTCATAAATCTACCAAATAACCTTAAATTGTTTTCTATAAGTCTCTCCAAACATACTTATAAAGTCTCTCCAAATCACCTCAATTCATTGTTATCACCAACAGTGAGGAGTGATGGCAATCCCAGGGCTCAAAAGACTGAGACACTGAGACTGACATGGCAGTTCAAGGCTGACCAGGGCTGAGTAGTGAGCTCCAACACATTCTGGGCTGTACAATGAAAACAAACATCAATGACAACTCTTGGGGACTAATAAGATACATATATATATGTATATATATAATATATATGCATATTATATATATATATCATCCATCAATGCCTGTTTACATTACATACAAGGCAATGAAGGAAACAAGTAGAATTAGAATAAACTGATAGTTATTGAACCTGGTGATGATAAGTCCATGTATAATATTTGTGAAAAGTACTATGCACTATTAAAAACAAAAAACCTCTCCTCTGCAGACGAAGTTTAGATCAGCAAACTAGGTATCCATGTTCTCATCTGACCTGATACAGCTCTTCCAGGGTTACCTGGATTTCAAATCGCATTTCTTCACAAACAAACAAAGCATCTGACTGCTGTGCTTTCCAGTCCTTACACCCTAAGATTTAATAAGTTTCATAAGGAAGAATTCACATGAGTGTAGAGGCGCCTTTTCCCCTTCAACCTAGAACTGCTTGTAGGAGTTAGAATTTATTTTTTGCCTCAATCCATTCTTAGCTCCACTGAATATTTAATAGGTTTCCACAGGGTACAAGATATTCTGCCTATCTAGTTGGTGCTTAGAACTTTATCACCTCATCTGTCCTTAGATAGAGGATTTCAAGGATGGTTACTCAGAATGACAGAGTGAACCACCAATAATGAGAAAAGCACATTGGTACATAAAAAATGGTATTGCCAGGACTGGTGAGTTGGCTTCAAAAATAATGGCATTTAAAACCAAGAGCCTGAGTACCTGAGCTTGATCCCTGGAACTCACATGGTGAAAGAAGAGATCCAGAGACCCACAGCACATGATTTCTCTCTCCTCTCTCGCTCTCCGTCTCCCTCCCCCACCCTCTCTCTCACACACACACACTCCCTCTCTCTCTTCTCTCTCTCTCTCTCTCTCTCTCTCTCTCTCTCTCTCTCTCTCTCTCTCTCTCTCTCTCTCTCTCTCTCTCTCTCTCTCTCTAATTAAAAGAGAAAAAAATAGTACCAACATACAGACTCAATTCTTTATAGACTTTTTTAAAGGGTGCCAGGCAGTGCTGTTTGGAAAAGTAAACAAAAAAGTGGGGTTCATTTTCTAATAATGGTGGTGACACCTTATTGGAATTCATTGTCCAAGCCCTTCCACATCTACTCCTAATCCTAGAAAGTGGCTGAATAACCCTGGATTGATACTCAACACAGTGTGTGCCTTTAAAAAGTATAAGTTATGGCTGAGCGTTGGTGGCGCACACCTTTAATCCCAGCACTTGGGAGGCAGAGGCAGGCAGATCTCTGTGAGTTTGAGGCTAGCCTGGTCTACCGAGTGAGTTCCAGGACAGGCTCCAAAACAATACAGAGAAACCCTGTCTTGAAAAACCAAAAAAAGAGTGTAAGTTATAAGCTCCATCCCTTGACTTTCTGCTACACTAGAAGATAATAAAGCCAAGGCCATGGAAGAAACGAACAAGGAAGACCTCAGAGCACAGACTGGAGCAGAGGTTTTACCAGGAAAAGAGTTGTTGCCAGGAGTTTACCTAATTCAGGCAAACTCCAACTCTCCAGTCACGAAAATTTAACAACAAAAATAATTTAACTATCTCTTAGTGTGATTCATCTTCAAAGAAATATTGTACCAGGCAAAAATTACTTAGTAGGGTGTGGTGACCCATGCCTATACTCAGACAAGACAGTGAAACCTTATCTTAAAAGAAAAAGTCAAGTGGTGTCATATACATACCTGTAATCCCAGCACTTGAGAGGCAAGAGGATAGAGTTCAAGGCCAGCTAAATAACAAGTTAGAAGCCATCCTAACTACATGAAGTCTTATTTCAACACACAAACAGAATGTTGGGGGATGTACTTTAAGGAAAGTGTCCAATAATCCTCCATCTTCTCAGTACCAATACTTAGTAACCAATCACTCAATGTAAATGAGCTTAATTTAATAATAATCAATCATATGGGACCTGATCTCCTTTCATTACATAAAGAAAATTAAAGATGTCAAGAAGGAAATAAACTCTAGCTTGAGGTGGGGCTATAGCTCAGAAGTAGGGTACTTGCACAGGGTTCTGGGTTTAATCCTCAGCACTACCAAAACCAAACAAAAACAAATGTGTTATATTCTGGCTGCTAAATACACAGAACATAATCAATTTCTATCCCAGAGTTTTTGAGTATAACAGTTGGCCAATAAAGATCACTTTGATCAATTTCTATTTTCATATAAGAAGTGACTATCTGAAAAACTAATCCTAAAAACAAACAAAACTATCTAGGGATATGTAGTATACAATCTATACATTAAAAAAACTATTTTCCACAACTACCCTGTGGTCAGTGTCTCAAAAATAACATGTATTAAGCATGCCTTGGAAAGGGCTCGTTTTAAGTGCTGCTCTCTTTATAAAAGCACAATGAATTACCATTGGATTTGAATCTGCTATGAGATCCCGTAGAGAATCCAGAAATCCCTGATCTTCCACCATCTGGGCATTGATATCATGGAGTTTTGCCACACAGACTGCTGCTGTTTTCCGAACATAGGGGTCTTCATCCTTCAAGCACTTGCGGAGTGGTTCACAGAGATATTCTGTAATCTTGTCCACCCGGATGCACCCCATGGTTCTAACTGCCAAGGCTCGAATCAAAGGATTAGGATCTTCACAATCCTACCAAAGAGGAAAAAAATTCAACTACATGAATACAAGATGATTAGAAGTAAACACTCCAGTTGACATAAACCACAAGTTTCTAATATATTCCTCATGAGAATTCAATCTTGCATGCTATTCCTTTCCTAAAGGTCTTAGTTGTCTACCCAAGAGCTTAGAAGGAAATCTTTTTTTCTTTAAGAAATGTGTCAGGGCTGTAGAGATGGCTCAGAGGTTAAGAGCACTTAAGTTCTTGAAGAGGACCCAGATTTGATTCCCAGCATCCACATGGCAACTCACAACCACCCATAACTCCAGTTCCAGGGGATCTGATGCTCTCTTCTGACCTCCATGGGCACAAAGCATGTACATGGTACACAGACATGCATGTAAACAAAACACATACATTAAATAAATCTAAAATCAAATAAAGATTCATTTATGAGTATATACAGTGCCATATGCTTAATTATGTAAAAGTCCCCACAGAGCCCAGAAGAAGGTATCAGAGTCCCTTGCGCTGGAGTTACAAGGAGTTATGAGCCACCCCATGTGGGTGCTGAGAATAGAACTTGGTCCTCTGGAAGAGCAGCACATGCTCTTAACCACTGAGCCATGTCTCCAGCCCCAGAAAGAAATCTGTTAAGTGCTGCATACACACAACGAGGAAAGGTCCAATAGCACTCAATCTTAGGCTAGACAAAGCCTGGTTAGTTGGTATGCTCATCCCTAGAACTATTAGCAGACGACTTGCTCTAAGAACAGAAAGAACCTGTTTTCTTGTTCAGGAAAAAAAGATAGAGAACTGGAAAGGCTGTATCCCCTCCACTATAAATCTGTAAGAACCAAGTAAAAAGAGAAGACAATTTCTAGAGGTCTACAGAACAAAACAAAGATGTGCTATGATCTGACTGGAGCCTGACAGAAGTATAGCTCCTGAGGAGCCCAGAAAGACCACAATATGGTGGTATGTCCAACTTCTGCAGCAGGTATCTAATATGATGAAATCCCAACCTCCGTTAGCCTTGGGGGTAAACTGAGGTTCACCTGGCTTTCTTTTATCCATCTGGCAAAGATGGGTGTGCCAAGCCCCACTGACAGAGGCTTGTCATATGGTTTCAATGTCCCTAGATGCTCTGTGCTGACGTATAGAATGCTTACAATATGAACACTGCTGCTCACTGCTTGACTTCTCTACAGGACTTAGTCCCTTGAAACACAGGTTGCTTATCTGTAATGCAGATACAAACTATATCAAAAGTTACTTCTGAAGGAAGGTTGCATGAGGTAGAGATGACTGAGTCCTTAGGAAAACTACCTTCACAAAGCTGTTGACAGCCATGATGGCCATGTCTGGCTGACTCTTGGCATAGTTCATCAGATAGAGGTACACAAGTTTCTTCAATTCCAGGTTGTCAGTCTGCATACAGTTCACCACATCTGGGAAGAGAGAGCTGAGGAGAGACGAGGAAGAGAGAAATGGAATGAAGCAGTGTCATGGCAAAGCTGTTCCACAAATAATGAAGTGGCAGCCTTGATTCTAGGACGATTTGACAAGAGGACAATGGTACAATGGTGATAATTCATGTTCACAGAACTGAGTAACTAAAAACATAAAAATAAGCTGGGTGGTGGTGGTGCACGCCTTTAGTCCCAATCAGCATTTGAGAGGCAAAGGCAGGTGGATCTCTGTGAGTTCGAGGCCAGTCTGGTCTACAAAGTCATTTCTAGGACAGCCAGACTTGTTACACAGAGAAACCCTGTTCCGAAAACCAATGAACAAATAAATAAATAAAAACATAAACATAAAGTACTATCGGCTGCCAGGTCTCTAAACTGTTGAGTTTTTAATGCACAGGTTGAACTCAGGGCCTTGTGCATTGCAGGCAAGTGCTTTACCACTGCACTACATCCTCAGACCTCTCAAAGTTTTTGTGGAGGGGAAAAAACTATTACGAAAAGTTTGAGAGCATCAGAATGAGACCAACATATATATTACCTACAAACGCTGATACAGCTCCAATTGATTCACATATGCCCCCAAACCTCATTTCCACTACTGATGAGCTGCTCTAGATACTTTGTTCAGTGAATGGAGATAAAACCCAGGGTCTCACACATGCTAGGGAAGTGCTCTGGCACTGAGCTATATTCCAAACCCTGGGATTATTTTTAAATGAATCACAAAGTATATTTCTTACTGAGCCTACATGCCTAGTGCTTGGCTCTCTGAGCAGGGTGAGGCTATGCATAGTTTAAGCTGTCCTGAAACTTATTATACAGGCCAAGATGGCCTTGAACTCACTATTCTCCTACGTCAGTTTTCTAAGTGCTAGGATTTCAGATGTGTACCACCACACCCAGCTTACATTATGTTTCATCTATAATAATTTCAGCATATTCTAAGAAAAAATAGATTTATCAAACTGTAAGAGTTTTCTGTATCAGTTCACAGTGATGTCAAAACCTCCAACTTTTTACTGCTCATTTTCTTGCAGCCTTGACCAGGAGGAATTTAGGTAGTTCCCACACCCTTATGATGTGATCCTATATTTTCAAGCGTTTCTATGATTTCTCCAATGTTCAAGGTTGAAATTTCTAATCAGATCTAGAATCAATTATTTGTTTCTTTAAGTTGTCCTGATCCCCTTTGGGGAGAATTTATGAATGTATTTACTTTTAAAAAGCATTATACATTTATGGACTGAGGCATTATCAAATATAAGTGGTCTATTCATTTCCCAAGTACTAGCCATCAATTCTTAATTTACTATTCTCCTATAAGGAAAGAAATGTCTACCTGCACTCATGAAGTAGCAACATTAGCCTAAAAGGACTGAACTTCCAAGTCTGGCTTCTAAAATAAGCCACACTTTAAAAATACAAATTAACTACACCTTTAATCCCAGCACTCGGGAGGCAGAGGCTAGCAGGTCTCTGTGAGTTCGAGGCCAGCCTGGTTTACAGAGAGAGTTTAAGGACAGCCTCCAAAACAATACAGAGAAACCCTGTCTCGAAAAACCAAAAAAAAAAAAAAAAAAAAAGAAAAGAAAAAGAAAAAAAAATTAACTAGAAAGCTAGCAAATAGCATTCCCAGAGCTTTATTAAAAATACCTTGTAGATTCTATGTATTTCTACATATCTTACAAATATAGAAGAAAAATAAATGTCAGTATATTTTGCATAGTGTAAGTCCTGTACACATATAAAAGCAGAATACAGAAACTTTTTGAAGTCATAAATATGGTGTCATTTAAGAAAATATTTAAGTGTATCTGTATGTGCAGGTATGGAGGTCAGAGGACAACCTTTAGGTGTCAGTTCTCTTCTTGAACTATGTAAATCCTGGTGATTGATTTCAGGTCATCAGGCCATCTCTCTGGCCCAGAAACTGATGCAGTATGGCTGCAAAACCAGTAAAGAATTACAAACTATTATCCAACAGAATATTTACAACCCTAAGGAACTCTACCAACCTACACAAGAAGACTGAAGCTGGACACTCTGGTGCATGTTTGCAACCTCAGCTCCTGGAAGACTGCAAGTTCAAGGCCTGTCTTGTGCTTCAGGGAGAGTTCAAAGCCAGGCACGGTGATGTAATGAGACCCCCTCTTGAATAAAGAGGGGAAAGAGGACTAGGAAGAAGTTTAATGATGATCTCCATAGTGAGATCCAGGACAGCCAGAGGTATGTAATAGACTTTATCTCAAAAATAAAATAAATCATAAGCTCATAACATAAATTATTTTAAGTGAATATTTAACTAATAAGACAATGGCAGTGCTTGACATTTTACTTATTTACTGTTTGTGTATGTTTGTGGGCACTTACGCCACAGCACATATGTGGAGATCTGAGAGAGACAACCACCAAAAGTGGTTCTCTGCTAGGTTCTGGGGAACTAATGGGTCATCAGGCTCTTCAGCAAATGACTTTACCCACTGAGCCACCTCATCAGCCCCTTGTTCACACATTCATGAATCTCCACACTATCTAAGTAGAGACAACAGAATTCTCACGTCATCACCTCTAAGGTGAAGTATAAGAAGAAAATTCAACTTCATATAAATCACTCAGAAAATGAAGAAATAGTTTAGCATCTTTTCAAATAAGTGGATAATGTTCTTTATATGTATTTATTTTATCTATAGTAGTGCATGGTCTGTATGTGCACACATGTATGACTGATAGCAAAGGTGGTCAGAAGGTGTTGAGAGTGTAGGATGTTCTGGGAACTGAAGGCACTGAACGCGGGTCCTTTGCAAGAGCAACAAGCATCCTTAACCAGAGAGAGAGAGAGAGAGAGAGAGAGAGAGAGAACAGGATGACTCAGCAAGTAAGGTGCTTGTACACGGGCCAGATGATCTATCAACCTGATTTAATCCCAGGACTCTGCAAGTGTCAGGAGAGAACAGACTCTAGAGAGTTGCCCTCTAACTTCTACAGGCGCACACACACACATATAAACTGAAACAATAAATACCTATTGAATAAAATAAAATTTTACTGCAGCATGAATGACAGTCCTAAATGAAACTTTTTTTTCTTGGTACTGAAAAACAGAATACCTATGCAGGCCAGCACTACTGCCTACATTCACAGTAAGATACTGGCAATTCCACCCACAGCTGCTTCCTATCAGCTCAGAATGGTAACAGGGCAAAGAGCATCCAAGTATTTTAAGAATAGCTTTGATCTCACAGACCCAGGAGAGGACCTTGGAAGGCTGTAGGGCCTGCAGATGACCTTTACTCATTTTAGTCTCACTAATCACAGAAGCAAGTAACAACAATCAAGGCAGTTTTGGTAGTGCTGGTTTTCACCTGGAATTCAACAACATAATGTAGAGCCCAAAACAGAGGGCATTAGCTTAACTCCGCTAAAGAGCATTCAAGCTCAATAGGTTTTTTTGTTGTTTTTTTTTTAAATATTTAACTTTATTTTATATGCATTGGCATCCTCTGGAACTGGAGTTACAGACAGTTGTAAACTGCCATATGGGTGCTGGGAATTAAACCGAGGTCCTCTGGAAGAGCAGCCAGTGCTCCTAACCACTGGGCTATCGCTCCAGCGCCGCTCAATAGATTTTTATCATCTTCTAAAACTGCCTCAGTCAACAGATTTGTAACTGTGCCAGGACTAAAGACAGTTTATGCAAAACCTAAATGCAACAAAAATGTAAAAAGCAAACTAGTAAAACACTTAAGTTAGAGCTAATATAAAAGCATATAGGTGGTGGCGCATGCCTTTAATCCCAGCACTCGGGAGGCTGAGGCCAGCTTGGTTCACAAAACTAGTTCCAGGACTGCTAGGGTTGTTACACAGAGAAACCCTGTCTCGAAGAAAAAAAAAAAAAAAAAAAAAAAGCAAGTCCACTTCCTTGTTAGGTTTTCAATGGGGCAACCCCATTATCATAGGTTTTATGTGTTTAGTGTTTTTGAGATAGAGTTGCTATGTCGCCCAAGTTGGGTATCCCAACAGGGGCTCAAGTGATCCTCTTGCCTCAGCTTCTCAAGCAGCTGGGCGTATAGACATGTACCACTGTACCTCAGCGGTCTATGATTTTATAGGAAAGCAAAATGAGCTACAAAAATGGGGTACAGCTCTCTACAGTGTAAGAGTCACCACCCTTACCTAACATCCTTCCCCACGGTCATAGCAGCAATCACCTTCTTCACAGCCTCCTTCCTCTTTTCTTTCTTTTCATTGTTGAGTTCAGCTTTTAATTCAAAGATTTCTCCTAAAAGAGATGAAAACAAACATTAGCTGACCCACCAACAAAGACCCCATCAGTAAACTGTTAAAGCCTTTTAAATCATGGGCTTTGAAAACGCAATACAGACCTTTCTTTAGAAAGCATAAGAGGGCAGTGGTGGCGCACACCTTTAATCTCAGCACCCGGAAGGCAGAGGTAGGCGGATCTTTGTGAGTTCCAGGACATCCTGGTCTACACAGTGAGTTCCAGAACAGCCAGGGATACACAGAGTATCTGAGGGATGATTTCACAGCAGAATTTAAAGACTTAAAAAGAAAAATAAATGTAAGGTAGGGAGCTGGCTTGGAAATCAGTGTTTACAAACTAAAAGAGAAACAATTTTAAGAATAAATAAATTAGGCTCAAAAAATCAGTTTGTTAGTTACAAAATTGGGTTTAACATCCTTCCTCCCCTCTCACGGTTTATCTATATGTGTAAGTTCTTTGTCTGCATGTATGTCTTATGCACCACATGGAGGCCTAGTACCATTAGAAGCCAGAAGAGGGTGTTGGATGCCCTGGAACTGGAGTTATGGACAGCTGTGAGACACTATGTGGGTGCTGGGAACTAAACTCGGATCCTTTCCAAGAATAAGTGCTCTTAACTGCTGAGCCATGATTCCAGCCCCCAGCGTTCACTTCCTAGCTTTAGTGTTCAGCACTTTCATGGTAGCTTATAACTGCCTGTAACCCTAGTCCCAAGGAACCTCATGGCCTCTTGCAGGCACCAGGCACACATATATCCACGCAGAAAAGCACTGATGCACATAAAAACAGTAACTTTTTAAAGGCCAGCTTTGGGGAGTTGACTCTCCTTCCACCTTGTCGAGACAGTCTTCTTGTTTCTGCTGCTGTGCTGAGCACTCAGTGACTCTCCTGTCTCGGTCTCCCACAGTAGGAATAACGGAATTATTGCTGCATATGGTGCCATCAACTTTACTACATGGGTTCCAGGGATATAATCCAGATGCTCAGGCTTGCACAGTAAGCACTTTTCCCTACTGAGCTATCTCAGTATAAGAAATGCTCAAAAATATCAATGCTTTGAATCTACTCTGGTCCAAAAGAACTGAACGGTAAAGAGCTCTTAGTTCATAAGGGACCCTAATATACAACCACAGTTAAGTAAAAAAAGAAAAAGAAATCATCAAAAAAAAAAGAAAGAAAGAAAGAAAGAAAGAAAGAAAGAAAGAAAGAAAGAAAGAAAGAAAGAAAGAAAGAAAGAAATCATCAGTCTAGTACTACAGCTGCATGACTGGTATGGAGTAATAGTCTACATTCTAATAAGTCCTTGAAGTTTCACTCATGGGGGGGGAGCATGCTTGGTACTTGTGGTGGTTTGCATGAGAATGCCCCCATAGGCTCACATGTTTGAATACGTTGTCCCCAGTTTGTAGAACTGTTTGGGAAGACTAGGATGTATGGCCTTAGTGACAGAAGTGTATCACTTAGGAAGGGCTTTGAGGTTTCAAAGGGCACCATTCCCATTGTTCCCTCTCTGCTTCCTGTTTGTGGACCTGGATGTGAACTCTCAGCTGCTGCACACCAGCACCATCTGCCTGACTGCATGCCATGATGATGACAGACTCTATCTCTCTGGAACCATAAGCCCCAAAGAAACCCCTCCTTCTATGCCCTGGCATGTTATTCTGTCATAGCAATAGAAAAGTACTAATGCAATACTGGAAACCTGATCAAAGGCCAAGGCCAGGGAGATCATAAGCCATAGTGGGCAATCTATCACTGTTATTCAGCTGTTGGCCAACTGTCTTCTACACACTTACATTTATACTCAGAGGTTAGTGCTGTTCTCAATATTGTTCAGAAAAGCTTATTTGCATAGACATTGGTTATTGCATTCAAAATTATTCAAAGTGCTGAGAATAAGTGAGCAAGTCCTCAGCCCTAACTGGAAAACTTACATCAACCACCTCACCTACCCCATGGCTCAGAGAACATCACAGAATAAGGGGTACTGGAAACAATGTTAAACTGGAGCATGGGGAAACGGTTGTGAAATGCTGCTTCTGTGCACGAGATAGCCATTGCATCCATTAACCACAGTACCTGTGGTTATGTGCACATTAAGAAGCCAGCCAACAAAGCAGGGGTGGGGGAGAAACTCACAAGGCTCAACCCCTAGCTTTGGGGCTGTTGGTAGCTAAATAGAAGACATTTTTCTTTGGGGATGTGGTCACTGATATTGTCCATGCTCACTAGATGGCCAAATACTCATGGGCATGCGGGCAGCACCAATTGGATCTAGTGGATTTTAAAAAAAGAATAAAGACCATGAAGTTGAGAGGGGGACATGTTGGGGAGAAGTGGAGGGGGAAGTGGGTGCCTGAGATACATATATATGAAATCTCAATAAATGCATATGGACTGGTGATATGGCTAAATGGTTAAAGGTGTTTTAGAACCTACATGGTAGAGAGAACCAACTTCTGAAACTTGTCATCTGATTTGCATGTGTGCTATGCATACACCTACACAAATACAAACACATTAAATATAAAATACATACAAAAAAATCACAACCAGGTCTCAGTCTCAATTAACTCAATGTGGTCCAGCATGGTTACACGTCTGTAATCCCAGCATTTAGGAGGCAAAGGCAGGAAAACCGCCGCAAGTTCAAGGTCAGCCTTAGCACGTTACTACTACTTAATAAGTTCCAGGCCAGGCAGGGAGGGCTACATGAGATCCTGTCTCAGTAATAAGAAAAATGGAGGAAGAGTGAAGCTTAAAATGATATAAACTAAGGTCATTTCTACAGGCCAAGTTTCAATGACTACTCAAGAGGTGTCAAAGACTGTCACCACTATTTTAAGGCACCATCTCTAGCTTCATCTGCCATAAGAACGCAGGGGACAAAATAAAAAGGCACTGGTCCTAATCAAACAAAGGAGAGGGAGAATGGAAGAAGAGTTCTCCCACACCACCATTTTCAGGAGAAAAAGGCAGTAACTCTCATCAGACAGAAGGAGGTGGGGAATGGAAGGAAGGCCACCACATTCATGCCTACTCCCATTTCTTCCTTCTATGGATACCCTCACCTTTTGTTGTTTGTTTTGTTTCCAACAGGGCTTGCTATGTAACCCTGGCTGGCCTGGATTCACAATGTAGACTAAGATGAACTCTTAACTCATAGGCAATCCTTCTGCCTCTGCTTTCAGTGTGCTGGGATTACAGGTGTGTGCCACCTCGCCTATCTTTTCCAACTACCCTTCCAAACTTGAAAATATTGTCTCCTTGTCCACCACTTTCCAGACTGTTCTCAATGTTCATTTCACCTGTACATCATCCTCCAGTCTGCACACTGTGTGATCTCCCTGAAACCCCTGAAAGGAAGTGTATCGACAAGAGACACAAAAATGGAACACAAAAAAACTCGTTTTATTAATATCCATCCTCAGCAGGCAAGCAAATTGTTCTTAAAATCACTATTCCATTTAATTGACAACTACAGAAATAACACTGGCAGAAAGGCCAGACCTTTAAAAGTGTGGTTCTCTACTGAGACCTGTGTTGCCAAATGCAGTTCTCAGGGCTCCCATCATTACTTCTCAAACAGTGAAGGGCAAACAGCGGGGTTTCAGAAAGTCGAAATTATGAGCGCAGCAGGAGCTGCAGAATGGAAACAGGATGTAACTGAAATGATTCCAGAACCAAGCACAAATATAAAGGATCTGCTCCAGAGGCGGTTCTGGTGGGTGGCACAGGAAGCAAAATGAACAGGGTCTATTCGTTTTTTTAAAAACATGGTATTATCTAGCAGTGATTCAATTTGTATGTCTCAAACTTTTATAAATGTCATCTGCACCTTTACAAGAGATGATGAACTGATAAATTTTAAAACTGTTAGAAAAAAGGCCAGGTGTGGTATACACTCAGGAGGCAGAGGAGAGCAAATCTCTGATCTACAAACTGAGTTCCAGGATAGCCAGGGTTACAAAGCGAGCCTGTGTCTCAAAGAACAAACAAACAACAAAAATCCTTCTATGTGGTTATGGACAGTATGTTGGTCACCAAAGCACATAAAGCGTTAGTAGCAGAAAAAGTAATACATATCCAAATGATTAAGTAGTTAGCTGTAAAGAATAAGCACTTAATATGTGTGGGTTTTATTACTGTGTGTGTGTGCACAGCAGTACATGTGAGATGTATGTGTGGGCAAGATTGCCATACCAAGTGTATGGAAAACAGGGAACAACTTTGTGGAGTTGGTTTTCCCCTTCCACCTTTAACATGGACCCTGGAGAACAAACTCAGGTTGCCATGCTTTCTCAGTAAGCACCTTTACTGGATGAGCCATTTCAGTGGTCCTGTCCTATTTTTGAGACAAGGTCTTGCTATGTAGCCCAATCCAGACTCACAAGCATTCCTGCCTCAGCCTCCTATGTGCAGAGACTCCAGGCATATGTCACTATGACCAGCAGGCTTATGTATTTTTGCAAGGTGTAAATAATATAAAGATAGAGAAGAAACAGACGGATCTAAAAAGACAGGTCCTAGGAGAGCCAAAGTATCTTGCAATCACAATTTATTATCCAACCCCATTCCTTTCACTAGTCAAATCTACCGAGCATTGCTAGCAGCTAAAAACGGTTCTCATCCCTGGCTACACATTTAAAAAGTCTGTAGAGCTTTTGCCAGGCGTTGGTGGCTCACGCCTTTAATCCCAGCACTTGGGAGGCAGAGGCAGGCGGATCTCTGTGAGTTCGAGACCAGCATGGTCTACAATAGCTAGTTCCAGGACAGGCTCCAAAGCCACAGAGAAACCCTGCCTTGAAAAAACAAAAAACAAAACAAAAAAAGTCTGTAGAGCTTTTAAAATCTCAATATTCAGCCTAGCATGGTGATGTGTGTTTGTAATCCCAGCACTTGAGAGGATGTCAAAAGGGTGAATCCAGGCTAACCTGGGGTATATAACACAAGTTCTAGGACAAATTTGCTACTTAGTGGTAAGACTCTATCTCAACAGTAAATAAAACAAATTAGATAGCAAAATCCAGAACGGGGATTAGAGAGATGGCTCAGAGGTTAAGAGCACTGGCTGCTCTTCCAAAGAACCTGAATTTGATCCCAGTGCTGACATGGTAGCTCACAACTGGCTGTAACTCCAGTTTCAGGGGGGGAATCTGACATCCTCTTCAGGCCTCCATAGGCACCAGGCACGCATGTGGTGCACAGACACACAGCAGGTAAAACACCCACACACATAAAATAATGAATAAAAAGAATTTAAAGGATGATCCTCTAACACCAACCACCACACACACACACACACACACACACACACACACACACACACACACTAAAATCTTTTTTAAAAAATCATTCTTTAGGCAGGCGTTGGTGACGCATGCCTTTAATCCCAGCACTCGGGAGGCAGAGGCAGGCGGATCTCTGTGAGTTCGAGGCCAGCCTGGTCTACAGAGTTAGTTCCAGGACAGCCTCCAAAACAATACAGAGAAACTCTGTCTCAAAAAACCAAAAAAAAAAAAAAAAAAGCCATTCTTCATACTGTATTTATACCAGTTATGGTTTTGTCACATTTGCTTTATAATTCTCTACTTATACACAGACCTTTTTCTTATATCATTTAAAGTTGCACACATCATTCCTCTTTACGAATATATAGCTTGTGTTTTTCAAGGATAAGGAACTCGTTTCATTTTTTTTTTTTTTTTTTTGGGTTTTTCGAGACAGGGTTTCTCTGTGGCTTTGGAGGCTGTCCTGGAACTCGCTTGGTAGTCCAGGCTGGTCTCGAACTCACAGAGATCCGCCTGCCTCTGCCTCCCGAGTGCTGGGATTAAAGGCGTGCGCCACCAACGCCCGGCTCTTTTCATTATTTTAATGTCAAAATACCAATACACCATCACTATCCTCTAATCTTAACAGACCTTGTTCTACGCCCTTTATAGCAACCTGATTCCCATCCCATGCCCAGCTCTAGGGCACATTTAGCCTAAGAATATGCAATAAATTTATTGTCATGTTTCTTTAGTCATTAATCTGAAACAATTTATTTTCATGGTAATATTTCTATTTTTAAACAGGGTCTTACTGTGTAGCCCTGTAACTATGAAGACCAGGCTGGCTCTAAACTCACAGCAATCCACTTGCCTCTGCCTCCCGAGTGCTGGGTAATGATAAGACTTTTTTCTTTTTAGATAGGACCCTTAATTATGAGAAGCACCTCTCGTTTGCCACGGGTTTCCTGCATTGTAATAAAGTTATCAATTTTAGGCAAGCTAACTTAACAAAGCATCACATGCAAAGGTAAATGGTGTCACTTTGACCTGTTGTTGGTGATGTTAACTGACTATAAGGATATAAGGTTCTTTTTTTTTAAGATTTATTTATTTATTATGTATACAGTATTCTGCCTGCATGTATGTCCACAGGCCAGAAGAGGGCACCAGATCTCATTACAGATGGTTGTGAGCCACCATGTGGTTGCTGGGAATTGAACTCAGAACCTCTGGAAGAGCAGTCAGTGCTCTTAACCTCTGAGCCATCTCTCCAGGCCCCAGATATAAGGTTCTTTTTTTTTTTTTTTTTTTTTTTTTGGTTTTTCGAGACAGGGTTTCTCTGTGGCTTTGGAGGCTGTCCTGGAACTCGTTTGGTAATCCAGGCTAGTCTCGAACTTACAGAGATCCGCCTGCCTCTGCTTCCCGAGTGCTGGGATTAAAGGCGTGAGCCACCAACGCCCGGCTCAGATATAAGGTTCTTAACACCGAATTTAGTTTTTGTTGTTGTGTTTTTTGCTTTATTTTGCCTTTTTGAGATTTTTAATTTTTTTCACACACACACATATACATACATACATACATACATACGTATATGAATGAATGCTTTGCCTGGTACCCACAGAGATCAGAAGAGGGTGCCAGATTCCCTGGGACTAGAGTTATAAATGGTTGTCAGCCACCATAAGGATGCTATGAATTGGATACAGGGCCTTGATTATATTAACAGGTTATAATCCATTACTCTGATCACTTTTTTGTTATTGTTCAAATCATTCAAATTTGACTACTGGAACGCCCTTTAAGGTGTAGGGGTCTTTGATATCCCTTCATTTTCTGAGCATTTCCTTACTTAGAAGACATTCACCTTCAACTAAACATAGCCCCAGGATCAGTATTTGGGCAAAGAGTTCTGGTTCCTTTCAGTGAAAGATGTTTATTTTTGTTTTTTGGGTTTTGGGGTTTTTTTGGGGGGGGGCGTTGTTTATTTTTCAAGACAGGGTTTCTCTCTGTAGCTTTGGAGCCTATCCTAGCACTCTCTCTGTAAACCAGGCAGGCCTCAAACTCACAGAGATCTACCTGCCTGCCTCTGCCTCCTGAGGGCTGGGATCAAAGGCATGCACCACCATTGTCTGGCTTTTTTTGTTGTTGTTGTTGTTTGGTTTGGTTTGGTTTTTCTGTTTTTTGAGACAAGGTTTCTCCGTGTAGTCCTGGCTGTTCTGGAACTCATCCTGTGGACTAGGATGGCCTTAAATTCGGAGATCCACCTGCTTCTGCCTCCAAGTGCTAGGATTAAAGGTGTACACCACCACTGCCTGGCTGAAGAAATGTTATTTAGAAACCAAGATTGAGTACTAGGTATCCTTGGCACCTATTCTGGCACAGTGGAAATGAGGGTACCCCACTAGTGGGTAACCCCACTAGTGTTAAGGTACCAAGCAAATGTGCATAGAACATACTCAAATCCAGCTAAGTCTCAAGACAGCACATCAGAAAATACTTCAAGGCAAATAAAGTCTATGCCAGAAAAGTCTCATTTCAGTCACTGGAGGACACACACACCTGAAAAGCAGGCCAAGACACTGAAAAACAAGAGTAATAAATACCACAGTAGTTGGTGCAATGCCCAGAATATTTCAACAAATCTAAGACTTGCTGAATACAAAAACAAACAAAGCGAACTCAGCTGGATGCTTAGTAAGCTGAGGACAGTGATGCTAATCTATCTCTGATGGAAGAGCTGTCTATACCTCTAGAAATCTGCCATCTGGAAACAATTTGGGAAGGTAAATTTTCCCAAGAAGAATCCTTAGTTCCTAGGCCCCCACTCATGTGTAAAAGCCAGTATTATATTACTGACCACAAGGTGATGAAGAGCGGGAGGTGTAGCTCGATGGCAGGGCACTCGCCTAGCATGTGCAAGGCCCTAGATTAGGTCCCCAGCACTGGAAAGAAGCACATAAAATCCCTTACACTTTAATAACTTATTCAAACATAATTATTTGTAAAAACAGATTCCCAATGAGACAATGCAAACAAAACAAAACAAAAAATAAAACTTCAGAACATTCTACTTGGGGACTATAACCCAGCAACTTAACTGAATAATCTGAAGATTTGACCAGGTTCTACTTACCCTTCTTATTGGTTGTGAAGTACTTGGAGTCAGTCATGATTCTGGATCTTTAGAGTGTACCTATGGTAAGAGTAAAGAATGCTGTTACCCAAATTATGTCTCCAGCAAGGCATCTAATTTTGATAACATCTATATTTAAGACCTATTTTAACAAAATGAGTAGTTTCTTCCTAATACCACCACCATTTATAGATCAAGCAACACAGGAAAGAAAAGCTGCAACTTGCCTCAAGGAACTTCCAGTGGCAAAGTATGAAGGCCAAATGGAATAGGGTAATAACCTGAACCCCTTATGGCTCTGGAGCCCCCAAGGACAAGCTTGACACCTAAATACATCATAGTCACTCAAACATTTAAGACAAAGGCTTAGTGCCAAAGATTTCTCCATAACTTTCTCTTTTTAAAGATTTTTGTTTGTTTTATGTATATGAGACTCTATCTGCATGTATGACTTTATGCCAGAACAGGGCATCAGATTCCACTATAGATGGTTGTGAACCACCATGTGGGTGCTGGGAATTGAACTCAGGAGGAGCAGCCAGTGCTCTCAACCTTTGAACAATCTCTCCAGCCCCTCTCCATAACTTTCTAATAAGGAAAATGTGGTTACTCCCTTGCCTCAGCATGGGATCACTCAAAGCAGTCAAAGCTCAAAGATGAAAACAATTCTGCTAACCTATTAAACACTGCTTGCAAAAAGAGTCACAGAAAATTATGAAGCCCACCTTGCTCCCAGTCCTGGGAGGTAGAGGCAGGATGAGTTCAAGGTCATTCTCCTCAGCATAGCTACACAGTGACTTTAAGGTGAACCTGAATTACATAAACCCTCTCTCAAAAACAAAAAGCAAAGAAATGAAAGAGCTAGAAACCACAAATACCACATAGAATACAGAAATTGTTTTGCTATTTGTCACAGAGGCTTGCATTAATGTCTTTCTAGCAAAAATTCAGAGAATACTATTATCAATCCACTCACAGCATAAATTAAATAGAAAACAGACAAAATAGGGACTTATTTTGCTATAAAGACTTTTATTATTTACTTATGTATATATGTATGTGTGTGTGTGTGTGTGTGTGTGTGTGTGTGTGTGTACACCTGTGTGTGTACCCATGCCCAAGAAGGCCAGATAGGGAGTTGAAGCCTGAAGCTAGAGTTACAGATGGCCATGAGCCACCTGATATGGCTGCTGGAAATTGAAACTGAGTCCTCTGCAAGAGCAGCAAGTGCTGACCAGTGAGCTGCCTGTGCTTTTTGAGGCAGCATTACCCTGTGTAGCCCTCACTGGCTTGCAACTCTCTAAGTAAAAGAGATTAGCCTTGAATTTGCAAAGGTTCTCTCCTCCTGCCTCTGTCCAGAGTTCTGGGTTTACAAATGTGCCACCACACAGTTCTTTTTGTTTTTTTTAAAGCCATCTCTCATGTAGCCCAAAATGGTCTCAAACTTGCTATGTAGCTGAAGATGACTTGGATCCCAATTCTGTCTCCACTTCTCAGGTGCTGGACATACACCACCACACCTGGCTAGGAATTCTTCACATAAACAGGCAGGTGGATCCCTGAGTTCAAGGGCAGCTTTGTCTACATAATGAATTATAGGCCAGCCAGAGCTACATATTGAGACCCTGTTTAAAATCACAACACAACTTTTTAAAGACTTGTAATATAAATCGTATCTATGAGTTTACATACACAAAAAAAGGATGACATATACAAACAATTACTAGGGCCTGACAAGAGCTCTATAGCTAACACTCAAAATCATTACTATTAGCCGGGCGTTGGTGGTGCACACCTTTAATCCCAGCACTCGGGAGGCAGAGGCAGGTGGATCTTTGTGAGTTCGAGACCAGCCTGGTCTACAGAGCTAGTTCCAGGATAGCCTCCAAGACAATACAGAGAAACCCTGTCTTGAAAAACCAAAAAAATATATATATATTACTATTTGTACAGCATGTTGTTATACCATTTTAAATCCTATGGAATCATCAAAACTTCAAACCTAAGACTTAAAAACAAAATTTGTTTAGAAATTTTTCACCCAGTTACTTGGGAAAAGAACAAAAAAAAGCATTGTTTTTTAGTGCTCCATATACATATTATTTTTTCTTTTCTTTTGAAACAGGGTCTTCACTATAAGTCCTGGCAGACTTGAAACCTGCTATAAAGACCAGACTGGCTTCACACTCGTTGTGATCCTCCTGTTTTTGCCTCGTTAGTGCTGCAATTCATGTGCCACTACAACCAGATGACATGAAATTCTAACAGGAACTCTCAACAGACTCTGTTCTAAAATAAATCGGCCACCTTAAGTCAAGTCTTTACAAACAACCTACATGTTTCATGATTTGTATGACTCGATTCCCAGCGCCCTGGAGACTCCTCACTGTCTCTAACTGGGTTCCAGGGGTCCACCACTCTCTTCTGGCCAACTAGACTCCTCACTGTCTCTAACTGGGTTCCAGGGGTCCACCACTCTCTTCTGGCCAACTAGACTCCTCACTGTCTCTAACTGGGTCCCAGGGGTCCACCACTCTCTTCTGGCCAACTAGACTCCTCCCTGTCTCTAACTGGGTTCCAGGGGTCCACCACTCTCTTCTGGCCAACTAGACTCCTCCCTGTCTCTAACTGGGTTCCAGGGGTCCACCACTCTCTTCTGGCCAACTAGACTCCTCCCTGTCTCTAACTGGGTTCCAGGGGTCCACCACTCTCTTCTGGCCAACTAGACTCCTCCCTGTCTCTAACTGGGTTCCAGGGGTCCACCACTCTCTTCTGGCCAACTAGACTCCTCCCTGTCTCTAACTGGGTCCCAGGGGTCCACCACTCTCTTCTGGCCAACTAGACTCCTCCCTGTCTCTAACTGGGTTCCAGGGGTCCACCACTCTCTTCTGGCCAACTAGACTCCTCCCTGTCTCTAACTGGGTCCCAGGGGTCCACCACTCTCTTCTGGCCAACTAGACTCCTCCCTGTCTCTAACTGGGTTCCAGGGGTCCACCACTCTCTTCTGGCCAACTAGACTCCTCCCTGTCTCTAACTGGGTTCCAGGGGTCCACCACTCTCTTCTGGCCAACTAGACTCCTCCCTGTCTCTAACTGGGTTCCAGGGGTCCACCACTCTCTTCTGGCCAACTTGAGCATGAGGCACACATGGTGCACTGACATATACACGGGTATAACACCCATAAGCATAACATAAAATAACAACCATTTTAAAAACCTGCGACATAGATCCTAAACTAAGAATCTCTGCTCCAACAAAAAGAGATAAAGAGATATGGCCAGCTACTTGGGAGGCTGAGGTAGGTCTGGATAATAAAATGAGACTTTGTCTCAAGAATAAAATAAGGCTGGAGATGGTTCAGCAGTTAAGAGCACTGGCTGCTCTTCCAGAGGACCACGGCTTGGTTCCTAGCACTCACTTGGAAACTCCCAACTGTCTATAACTCCAGTTCCAGGGAATCAGATGCCCTCTTCTGGCCGCTAAGGGCACTGAATACACAAGTGGTATATAGACCTACATGTAGTCAAAATACCCATATACAAAATAAAATGAATAAAAAAGGGCTCAGTCTGAACTCAAGAAAGCCAGTAACAGAGAGGGAGGACTGATGACCAAAGGGATTAAGACTGGGCTGGTTTAACCCCCAGAAACAGCTGACCTGACAAAGGTTAACTCTTGAATCCCAGGCATCAGCCTGGGAATCCAGCATGGGACTGATCAAGACCCCCCTGAATGTAGGTGTCAGTGAGGAGGCTTAGGTAATCTATTGAGCCTTGGGCAGCAGATCAGTACCCATCCAGAGTATACACACGGACTTTGGACTCCCATCCAACAATGTGAGGTGCACTCTCACCCTGAACTCTTGGGGGAGGGTCTAGGCCCTACCTTATATGAAATGACAGACTATGGACACCCCCATGGAGGGCCTCACCCTCCCTGGGGAAATGAGGGGATAATGGGGGGGTTGGGGGAGGGCACGGGAGGAGGGGAAAGAAAGGGAGAGGGACCTGGAACTGACTTGTGAAGCAACCTCGTTTCTTATCTAAATTTAAACTGAAAAAAAAAAAAGGGCTCAGTGGTAGAGGGTTTGCTTAATATATGGGAAACCCTGTACTCAATCGTCAATGCTAATTTAGAGCAGGGTAGCTCAATGGTAGAGTGCTTACCTAGCAAGCATAAGACCTCTCCATCAAAAGAAAAAAAGGGGGAAAGGGGGAAGAAAAATTAGCAGGTAAATACATTACTCACTTAATTGACACCATGGTAAACAAATGTGATGAAATAATCCCCATCATTTAGGAAAGAAACATGGTAACAAGTCTATCCATGCCTTAAGCAAAAACAAAACAAAACAAAATGAAAATAGTCTAAACAAAAGCATAGGAGTAGAACGAGAAGAATGGGGTTGAACTCAATCGAAACACATTATATGCATATATGAACATTAAATATTTAATTAAAAATAAGAAGAGGTGATAGTGGCAGAACCTTAATGTCACTGTGACTTTCAACTCCCAATAATTACATATACCTATTTTTTTTGTTCTCTCTGTATTGTTTGGGAGCCTGTCCTGGAACTCACTTTGTAGACCAGGCTGGCCTCGAACTCACAGAGATCCACCTGCCTCTGCCTCCCGAGTGCTGGGATTAAAGGCGTGCGCCACCGTCGCCCGGCTTCTATTTTTAAATAAAACACCCCCAAGCACTTGTCAGACAGACACAGCCAGATTCTCCAAATATATGATGTGAAAACTATGCCTATATTAGAAACCACAGAAAAATATCCAGGACAGAGCTGGAGAAAATACAATTTGCCTAGTTCTTCAAAACTCAAAATCCTAGTAGAATAATTTTTTGCTTTTCAGGAAATTCCTAGAAATAAGCAAGCCACAATGGAATTTGAACTCATACGATCTTATACAACATCAAACCTGAAAAGTCACTGATTTATGGTGTAGCCTAGGGACACTGTTAAAAAAACGAAGCAGCCACCAGACAAAGCACATAATCACCTGCATTTGTCCTAGCTCACAGTGTGATGCCATGCCTTTTACAATCCTCCCTGTACAAGGAAGGTTATAGATCTAGATTAACATAACCTAGTTTCTGCCAAATACAGGTTGTCAAAGTCCCTCCCTCCTCCCCTTCCTCGAATTCCCCAAAAGAGAAACTCAACACTGAAATAAGATTAGTAGGCTGGGTAGAATAAGGTCAGAAAAAAGTTAGGAAGGTCTTAATTTCAAACGGTTTTCTGGGAAATGGCAACTAACACTCTCGTCAACCAAGCCACTATGCCCTTCTTTGCACATCAAGTCAGTGATTAGCCAAAGTTCAGTGAACTGTGAGCAGAGGATTCATTCCAGCAACCTTCACTTACAAGGTTGAGACAGGTGTAAAGATCATATCTGGCCAAATGTTCAATAGCACAAGGGCAACAGTAACTTCAGATTATTACCTTATCAGAAATACAATATTTAAAAGCCAAATTCACCTCCAGTTCCTTTTAATAACTATACGTTAATTCATTATTATAGTATTACACATACAGAAAGAAACCCAACAATCTTACACCCAATTGTTAAGAAATGCCCAGGCATTTTGGGAAACTTAAGCCAAGGAGGAAAGAAAAAGGGGGATGGTGTCCTCCCCGAATATTCCTTGTCTAATTTGGTTCAAACATGTGCCGTAAGGTATAATAGCTAAAAATTACGATCCTTTACAGAAGGAAAGGATGCTAGGGAACTTCTTTGAGCCTTAATTCGTCAAAATATTTGCTTTATATTAAGTTTACCATTCAACTTTAGGGAGGCTGTTTGCCTCCTGAGGAGTTTGCCCTGTAAGACACCTGCGATCAGTTCTCACTTCACACCTCACTGAGTCATCACTGGGATGTGTTACCCTCTGCTGCACCTCCTCGCCTGCCGCTTTCTATTATTACTTTATAAGTGGGCCCTAAGGCTAAGCAGAACTACACAAGGAAAGCAATTAATAATTTAAACTGCTCCTCAACTTGCCTTTCTGAGCTTATTGTGTGTTCTTTGTCTTTTAAACCACAATGGATACAGAAGTGTTTGGCAATTTAAAAACACTCTCCTTTCTAAAAGTTAAATAAAAAAAAAATCAACGAAGCATCCATGACACATTCACGTTGTTTCGTAAAGAAATAAATAGCCAGAGCATTGTAAGAGCTTTCCCCTAAATAGAAGGCTGCTCAGAAAGCTAATACATGCTGTGAATTCAAAGAATAAAGAAATAGCAGGAAATTCCAGTTTTTTCACTTCTAGTAGAATTCAGAGCCTTGCTCAAACTGCTCCTGATAACCCCAGGGGAAAAAAGGGGGGGGGACAACTCCGGGCTAAGATTTACTTTCATTGGCTGCCCCCTGTCACACAGGGGGTCAATTACTCAGGCTTCTCCTTTCTTCCTCGAAGCACATCTGGTCCCCTTTTCTCTTTACCCACTTCCCCAGGTAAAGACCCTGGAGAACTGGTCAGTTTTCACCAAGTAGGGCGAGAAGCCTTTAAAGCCCAAATACAGGTGACAAGAGAGGTTTCAATGGCAAAACCGTCGGGGGGATCCTGTCTCCCTTTGCTTGCTGGACACGTCCCGGCTTCTCAATGAACAGTCGTCGCCAAACGGGAAAACTGGGTGGTTCTCCCTCGGCCTCCAGCCTCTAGCGGCCACACCCCTGGCCTCAGTCCTCTCCACCCTGGTCTTGGAAGCCTGCTTCGCTCCGAAGCCCCCAACTAACCCGCTGCTACACCCGAGCGCAGCCCCATCCCGCCACGGCCACCACAGAGGAGGCACTTTTTCCAAGCTTCCCCCTCACAACGGTCACACCCGAGGACTCCCTCCATCCTCAACCGTCACGCTCCTCGGATCTCCTTTCCTCCCGCGCCTAAGACCCGGCTTGGGGTTTCACTCCCTCACAACCACCCCCAGTCAGTCAGGGACACACCCCAAAGCCAGCCGCCTTGAACTCACCGGAGGCAAGGGTGGGGTGGCGGCGGCAGCGGCAGCCGGAGAGCACAGTTCGGGTGGTGGTGTAATGGTTTCCTGCCCGTCACGATTCTTTCTAGATCTAAGCCACTGCGCAAAACCCAATTTGCCAGGGACAAAGATGGTGGGCCGGAAACTTTGGCGTAAGAGAATCTCGCCGCGTGACGTCATCCGGGTGCGCGGGAGAACCAAACAACCAGGCTGTGTCTCTGTTGCCTCGGCAACGGAAAGAGTTTTTTTTTTTTCCCCATCCCCCCTTTCTCTGGGTCAGGACAGTGCCTATAGACCAAGGGACCCGCAGTGGCTTTCCCAAAAGATATATTAAATAAGTGGGTATTCTCGGGATATATTTCCGTGAACACGAATTTTGTAAAACCTGTGTAAGATATCCTGTTTTCTGAAACACAAACCTCAGCTAATTTGCCTGTCAGATCCAGGACTGACTGCAAGAGCAGTGGGACTAGGAGACAGCGGCGCAATGAGGTTAAGCAGCATTCAGATCTGAGTTGGAATTCCTACCTTGAATATGACTAGGAAAACAAGCGCCCCATCTCGCGCCACCCGGCACACACTTATTCTTGTTGGGGCTTAAGCTGTACAAGATAGCTTCAAAAACAAAAGAAAAAAGTGTCCGGCCATGAAGTTCGGGCTAGTCTACAACTGCAGCTTTTCTTGCCTCTGCCTCGAGCGTGCTGGCACTCACCTCTTTAGAACTTTTGCGTCTATTTACCTTAGAGACTCTGCCCCGCTGCTTTCTGGCTTCTCTCACTCCACTATTGAACAAGTACTTATTAGGGGCTACTATATCTCAGGAATTGATACAGAGATCCAACTTTTTTTTCTAGCAACCCTAACTGTCCTGGCCTCGAACTCACAGAGATCCACCTATCTCTGCCTCATGGCAACACTCAGGAGGCAAAGGCCGCCGGCAGATCTCTAAGTTCGAAGTAAGTCTGGTCTACAGAGTGAGTTCCAGGACAGCCAGGACTACACAGAAAATCCCTGACTCAACCAAAAACGAGAAAACAAACAAAGATACAGAACAACTTAAACCAATCACAAAATTGCAATCAAATTAGTTTGTTGGGGTGCACCGTGAAGAGGGAGTGTGATTGAAGACTCCTATGTAGGAGCAGGAAGGTCCAGCCTCTCTGATGGGCTGAACCCCAAACACCGTACAAAGGTGTATTTATTGAAATTTATGCAAACTACTTCCTCATACAAAGATTCCCCAATCTAATTTACATGTCTTACTGAAGGAGAGCACTACAAGCCCTCATGATTCTAATCTTTTATTGTGTATTGTTTGCAATACACAATAACACAAGAGCCTCAGGTGTGCCTGAGGTGTCTTGTGACCAAAGTCATGCAATGGCTACAATGCCCTTCAGCAAAACAATTCTACAAATCAGGAAAAACCAGTTTTCCACAGGTTCCTTCAAGGTCAAAGTACTTCTAAAAATCAGCGTTCTGATATCTACCCCTTACAGTGACTCTGCTAAATTCTTACAGTAGTTATTTACTGAAAATTTATTACATGATTTCCAATGTAATATACTTATTATATATTTAAGATCCCCAAACCTGGCCGGGCGTTGGTAGCGCATGCCTTTAATCCCAGCACTTGGGAGGCAGAGGCAGGCGGATCTCTGTGAGTTCGAGGCCAGCCTGGTCTACAAGAGCTAGTTCCAGGACAGCCTCCAAAGCCACAGAGAAACCCTGTCTCAAAAAACCAAAAAAAAAAAAAAAAAAAAAAAAAAAAGATCCCCAAACCTGATGGCTAGGCTTAGCCTTTAATGCCTTCTAATAAAAAGGTCAATCACTTATGTGTCTTCTATTAAACTACACATTGAAGAGTGGAGATTTTTTTTGATGTATTATTTGGTGACTAAAAACTGAGACATTACCAAAATAAAATAAAAATCAACACTATTTGTCTTTTCAGAACTGGGATGGATCCTAGGTCTTCAGACATGTTGGGCAAATACACTACCACTGGGTTATATCCCCAGTCATGACACATTCTCCCCCCCCAGACAGAGTTTCTTTATGTAGCACTAACTATTCTGGAACTAGCTCTTGTATACAAGGCTGACTTGAACTCAGATCCACCTGCCTCTGCTTCCCAAGTTCTAGGATCAAAGGTGTGCACCACCACTGCCCAGCTGTTCCTTTTCTCATCTAATAATTAGTTTCCTTTTTAAAGAGTAATAGTAATCTCATGGGTCCAGTAATCAAGGTGTCTTGACCCCATAGCAAAGAATGAAGTGAGAGTCTGAACTAAGATTGCTTAACTGGATTAGTTTTCTTTTTTTCTCTCTCTTCCTCTCCCTTTCCCCTTTTTCAATATAAGGTCTCACTGCCATGTAGCCTGATCTCTCAGGTGTTGGGATTACATGTGTGTGCCAACACATCCCACACGTTAGGATTGGATTCATGGGCACGATGACAACTTCACTCTCATTCATTGTAACAAGGTTACTGGGATGAAAATTTGCTAGTTCCTGCTGCAGAACTCTAAAATGGTTAGATTTGGGGGCTATTTTATTTTTGTGAACACAGGCTACATAGTATATACCAAGCCAGTCAAGGATAGGTACACGGCGAGAAAAGTTTTAAAGCTGAAACTTTTTTTTTTTTTTGGTTTTTTTCGAGACAGGGTTTCTCTGTATTGTTTTGAAGGCTGTCAGTCCAGCCCGGCCTCAAACTCGCAGAGATCCGCCTGCCTCTGCCTCCCGAGTGCTGGGATTAAAGGCGTGCGCCACCACCGCCCAGCCGAAACATTTTTTGAAATTAATACTTTTTAGAAATTCAACAATTGCACTGACAGCTATTTTACTAAAGTATAAATCATATTTTAGAACTATAAAGGTAACTTCTAAAATTAAAACAACTAAACCCGAGCCCTTTTAAAGGTTCTCATTGTACAAACCAATTGTCTACGTTTACACCCTAGAACCCCCTATAGCAGTAAATAGTATCTTGCATGTTTTTAGCCAAGGAAATGAATGTATCAAGGAGACCGTGAACTCGTCCAAATTCCATTACCTCTATCCACAACTCTAAGTATACAACCTGGACTTTACACACCCTTTGACAGATTATTTTTTGTATACAAACAGAAAAGCACCCAGTCTATCAAAACTCAGCTCGCGCTAGACCATCAGGATTGCTGCAGTACATTGGTATCGCTAACATGATGTACCCACCAAGCTAGAGAGCAAGAATCAATTTCATCTACCAGAATGTGCCTAGAGTTGTAACTTAATTTTATACATGGAAGACTGGCTACCAGCCTGTATGAAAAGGAATCGTCCTAAAATCTAGTGGACAACCTTTTTCATCTTAGTGAAACTCGATGGTAACCGATAATAATAAACGCTAAAGCTTGTTTGTTCAACTTCTCAAGCAGGTAGACGAATTTAAGTTAAGCACCATCTGAGGTGGATCTGCGCAGAAAGGACCTGCCCATCTTTTTTCCCTGGCTTGATCGTCCCTGGGTAGGGGTGTCAGGCAGCGGCCTCAGCTCTGCACAGAGGCTGGCCCTCCACCGAAGCAGAAATAGACAGGAACAAATCCACCCACCACACTAGCCAGCCAGTCGCCTCGTTAAAGTCAAGAGGACGGAAACGGAAGTCCCAGTTGGTCATAGAGTTCCCTAATTCCGGCTCAGAGCCACATTCGATGCTAGAGCGCCTGTCTTCCGCCCGCTGTGCGGAGGTCCTCGGAGCTTCTGTTTCCGGGTGCGGGTTCTGTCACAAAGCCTAGACCTCCCTTCGCTGGTGGCGTCACGGATCCTCTGCGCCGCGCCCGAGGTCAGCAAACAAGGACGGGCACCACCCAGCCTGCAGCCGGAGCCGGGCCTCGCAGCTCGGGTACTGCAGCTGAAACGACACGTCCCTTGGCCCACACCTGCCTCCGAGTCACGCTCTGCCCTGTGAGGTGCAGCATTTGACAAGTCATTCCCCAGCCCCCACGTGCCACGTCCCCAGCTTCGGAGTTTAACAGTCCTTAACTTTGAGACTCCCTCCCTTCTGTCTCCATAAGACTTTTTTTTTTTTTAAATTTACCCCAGTTGATTTTCTCTCGTGTAAAAATAAATTTGGAGTTTCGGGAGCCATGCAGAAAGATTAAGACTCAGCCCCCGTTTGATACAAAACAACTTCATGCTCATTAGAGTGTGGGAAGAGTGAACCCCAGCACACGCAGGATACTATGGCTGAACACGGGGCTCATATCACAACTGCTTCGGTGGTGGACGACCAGCCATCCATTTTTGAGGTGGTAGCACAGGACAGTTTAATGACAGCAGTGAGACCCGCTCTTCACCATGTGGTCAAGGTAAGGTATTATTTCCCTGAAAGGTTTCAGGGACTACTGGATAGAACTCAAAAACATTTTACTAGTAGCCAAGGGTTTGCAATGACCAATGTGTGTCATTCATATCCATGGCTTAGTGTCCAAAGAACACTGTACTCAATTCCTAGGACCTCAAGCTTAGGCTATACCCCAAAATCGAGTTATTTAAACCAGGTGTGTTAAATTTAGAAGGGTAAGTGTGAATATAACTGAAGATTGTAATAAAGTGAATTTGTTTTTGCTTCAGGTTCTTGCAGAATCAAATCCTGCGCACTATGGCTTCTTCTGGAGGTGGTTTGATGAAATCTTCACTTTGCTAGACTTTCTGCTCCAGCAGCATTATCTTTCTAGAACCAGTGCCTCATTTTCTGAACATTTTTATGGCTTAAAGCGAATTGTATCAGGGAGCTCAACACAGCCTCAGAGACCAGCCAGTGCTGGTCTTCCGAAGGAGCACCTTTGGAAATCCACCATATTCCTTGTTCTTCTACCCTATCTGAAAGTGAAGCTGGAGAAGCTAGCTTCCAGCTTGAGAGAAGAGGACGAATACTCTATTCACCCCCCTTCTTCTCACTGGAAACGATTCTACAGAGCCTTCTTGGCGGCCTACCCGTTTGTTAATATGGCCTGGGAAGGCTGGTTTCTTATACAACAACTTCGATACATCCTAGGAAAAGCTGAGCACCACTCTCCCCTGCTGAAATTGGCTGGAGTTCGGCTAGGTCGACTGACAGCTCAGGACATACAAGCTATAGAGCATAGACTGTCTGAAGCCAGTTCGACGCAGGACCCCGTCAGAAGGTAAGACTCAACGTTTTCTAAAGCCCTGTCTTTAACAAAGTTTAAAATTGCACGTTAATCATCTGGTTTACCCCAGTCATTTGTTAAATCACGGCAAAATCATTCCTCACTCCATAAACAAGGCCCCACATTCTGGTAATCTTTCTCACTATCATAGGTACACCTTGCAGCAGGTCTGGTGTCTGTAAGGCCCTATGGAGGTATCTGCTTTGTGTACAGTTTCTTATGCCCCATTACATGATTAAATCAATGCAGTGGCTTCATTTAACAGTTGGGGGACCCAACAGCTAGAAGACACAGAGCCAAGATTTAATGCACAGCAATATACAATTCTAAGGAATGTTCTTGCCGGTTGTGGTGGCGCACGCCAGTAGGATTTGCTGAAGGAGGCAGAGGCAGGCGGATCACGAGGTCGAGGCCAGCCTGGGCTACACATTTTTAGCCGGGCGGTGGTGGTGCACGCCTTTAATCCCAGCACTCGGGAGGCAGGGGCAGGCGGATCTCTGTGAGTATTGTTTTAATACAGAGAAACCCTGTCTTGTAAAAAAAAAAAAAAAGAATGTTCTTATGCCTGATGCTACACCACCTTTAGCTAATTCTTATTCTTCCTCAAGTTCAAACATGTAAGCATCTCGACACTGCTAGGTTACTTTTTAAGTCAACTATTTGTTTTTCTGGTGGATTATTTAAAATTTCTATAAAATCTTATTTTTAATGCCTTTCTCAGGTCAAAGCCTAATCTTTTGTTGTTAGAAACAGGTTGTGGTGGTGGTGGCTGGAGAGATGACAGTGATTATGTGAATGGCATGAACTGCTAACTTTTCCAGAGGCCCCGAGATCAATTCCCAGCACCCACATTAGGCAGTTCACAACTGCCTGTAACTCCAGATCTTCTGACCCAACTGCATGCACATATAGACAAGCAAACACAAGCATAAAATCTTTTAAAAACCTGAAACACCAGAGTTTAAGTGTACATTCAGTGACCAGTGACCTGCTTACAACAGACCCGCCAGTCCAGGAGCACTCAATCTCCAAATCAGTGACTCCCATAAGTGTGGAGCTGCACTTACAGTGACCACACCCAAATAAACTGTTTTCTTTCCCAACAGCATTGGTGAGAAGATAAAGACGGCTCTGAAGAAGGCTGTGGGAGGTGTGGCTTTATCCCTATCCACTGGCCTTTCTGTGGGTGTCTTCTTCCTCCAGTTCCTTGATTGGTGGTACTCTTCTGAGAACCAGGAAACCATCAAATCACTGACTGCTCTGCCTACCCCACCGCCACCTGTACACCTAGACTACAACTCTGACTCTCCCCTGCTGCCCAAAATGAAGACAGTGTGCCCTCTGTGTCGTAAAACGCGGGTGAATGACACGGTTCTTGCCACCTCTGGCTATGTGTTCTGTTACCGCTGTGTGTTTAATTATGTGAGGAGTCACCAAGCCTGTCCCATCACAGGCTATCCAACAGAAGTCCAGCATCTGATTAAGCTCTACTCGCCAGAGAACTGAAAGAGATTAGCATATTACCACAGCTCAAGTTCTATGCTGTAAGGCCACAAGACTGCTGTAGTATGGCAAACAACATTGATACTTCCCTAATTCACAACTACAGTAATTTTCAGTAACTGTATGGATTCCTTTAAAAGGATATAGTCACTTGATCCTAACTTTTTGGTTTGCTCTCCACCAAGCTAGTTAAGCAGGAGAGTGGGGATTACAGGTAGTGTGAGGGCCAGTGTGGAGGTGAATTAAAGACCACTAACTGTTGCTTGTCCTCAAGAGTAGGGTTTTCAGCTGAATGTGGTAGTATAATATTTGCACTCAGACGATGGGGGCAGGATTTTGAGTTCAAATCCAGCTTAGGCCACCATAGGGAGCCTGTCAAAAAAAGAAAATGAAAGTGAGACTATGATTAAGAGGGATAAAAGCTCACAGGAAAACCCAGGTCAGACCTTATACAACAGGTGGTTTGAGAAACAGGCCTTCTCTTTAAAAAATATTTCCTTACCTGTGAAATAGAGGCTTTGTCAGACTGCATACACTATGTAATGACTTCCTCTTTCTAGAAATACTTAGGGACATTTTAGAGAAACAACCCCTCCCATATACCAGACTTATTAACGTCTGATTATGAAATTAGCAAATGCTAATCTTCAGCATTTGGAGATTCCTTCATGAGCTATACCTGTCTCTCTTGGGAAACAGGATAAAGAAAAATAGGGTTTGTTTATGGGGAAGAGCCTGGAAATTTCAATGTGAATGAAAGCTCCAAGCAATGGTGAGATGCAGGAAAATACTTAACTAATGTTTACCAAATGCTTATCTAATGAATACTTAATGAGGAGCAAAAGCTTTCTGCTCGTTCTCATGAGTTCTCTCAATTGACAATTGGCTCAATTAACATGAATCATCCTGAATATTGTGAAAGTTTCTATGAAACATTCAAGTAAATTTTAACAATAAGTGATTCTGGGAATGAACTGTTTCATGCTGGCATGATTATGTGGAGACTCAAAAGATTACTTCACGAGTTTAAAATAAATTTTCAGATCACCTTTGACTTCTTGAAGTATTCCTGTATTGATTAAAGTTTTGCCTATTAAAAAGACAAATCCAGTCATTAAAAACCCTGCTCTAACAACAATGCCAGCCTGTATGAAACAGCATTTACAGGAAACACAACAGTTCAGTTGCTTATTTGAATGTGGATGGACAAGCCGGTGAAGAAATGGCCTCTGAAAGTCAATGTAGGATGGATGAAAATGGTTTTTAACGCCTGGCCTGGTGTAATTCTGTGACTCACACTGGCAGTTGAGAGCATATTATCTGTCACCATAAAGATGATATAACTCTACTAAGTTTTAAAATGGACAATCCATCCTGTGGATTTAAAATTATTAAAGCTTACATATATCAGGAGATGATGGTCTTTTGTAAGCTCTTGTAAAACCTTATCAAAACAAAGGTCTAACCCAAACAAATACCATAGTTACAACACTTTTTTTTGTTTTGTTTTTTTGTTTTTCGAGACAGGCTTTCTCTGTATTGCTTTGGAGCCTGTCCTGGAACTCACTCAGTAGACCAGGCCGGTCTCGAACTCACAGAGATCTGCCTGCCTCTGCCTCCCAAGTGCTGGGTTTAAAGGCGTGCACCACCAACACCTGGCTAGTTACAACACTTTTTTTGTTGTTTTGTTTTTAAAGGATTTTATTTATTATGTATACAGTGTTCTGCCTGCATGTATGCCTGCAGGCCAGAAGAGGGCACCAGATCTCATAACAAATGGTTGTGAGCCATCATGTGGTTGCTGGGAATTGGACTCAGGACCTCTGGAAGAACTAGTGTTCTAAACCTCTGAGCCATCTCTCCAGCCCTAGTTACAACACTTTTAATACAGTAAAATAAGTCAGTCAGGAACTGATTCCCATTCAGGAAGAAAAGATGAGTCCTCCATGAAGTTTTGAAGCCTGATTGCTCACCTGGACCTAAAAAGGAAAACATGAAAGTGTCAGTAATTCAAAGGATACAAAAGAAAGACTCTTACAACATAACAAGTCAGTATCCACATAGGTTCAAATACACCTGTGTGGTAAGACAAGCACAATCAGCTCAGAGAGAAGATTAAGGAATCATGCCCTGGTCAGAGCCAGCGCATAGCAATGGCAATACCAGGTCAGACTATACTTCACTCATCATTGCATCATTTCACTTCACCTCTGGGTTGCCTACGGAGTCCCTTACATACCATAAGAGCTGCTGCTTTTACATATTTCAATTTTGAATTTTCAATAAATACCTTCCACTATGTGGTAAGTAACTGCTATACAAAAATAAAAACTTAAACAAGCCGGGTGGTGATGGCGCTCGCCTTTAAACCCAGCACTCGGGAGGCAGAGGCAGGTGGATCTCTGTGAGTTCAAGGCCATCCTGGTCTACAGAGAGAGTTCTAAGACAGCTAAAGCTGTTATACAGAGAAACCCTGTCTCAGAAAAACTTAAAGACGTTTTGTATGTGGGTAGGGGACTCTTGTTCTCACAACAGAGTAGTGAAACATTTACCCCTTGAATCTTTTTTTTAGAGCAAGGCATGATGGTGCATGCCTTTAATCTCAGCACAAGGGAGGCAAGAGGGCTGTCTCGAATCTCTGTGAGTTTGAAGTCTACATAGTGAGTTCCTAGACAGCCCTCAGAGCTACATAGCAAGACCCTGTCTCAATCAACAACAACAACAAAAATGTTATTTAAATGAGTCCAACTTCCATTTATTTGAACAAAAAATCTTAGAGATGTCTGTAAGGAGGCATACAGCCTAATTTATATAATAGTTATAAGAAAAGATTCTCTACAAAATTATAAATCATTTAACATAGAATTCAAACACCAACAAAAGAATTATATAGTCAAAATGCTTGTAGTTCTAGCTACTCTAGAGGGTAAGACAGGGAGGTTCACTTGAGCCAAGGAGTTAGAGGCCTGGGCAACATAGGAAAACTTACAGTGAACAAACAAAACCATACAACACAAAATTTTTCTCACAATCTTCTAATTTCAGTCCAAAAATTCTTGAGAGGCTAGGATCTGCTCAAGCGCTACAGCAATTAATAGCAGAATAAGGAAGAGAACTGAAGTCCGAATGCTGGGTTTATATCTTTCCACCTCTTCTTCTCAACGCCTGCCCTTTACTAATATAGCAGAAACTACTGGCACCGGGGTGATGTCTCAGCAGTTAAGAACACTAGGAGCTTAGAGAGGACCAGTAACTGACTTTAAGCCCATCAGCTTGACAACATTGTGATTCAATGGGTCTCCTGCCTCTGGTTCCCCTGGGCCACAACACATCTACACACTGACGGAAAAAAAAACTATAAAAGTGTGAATCAGCTACAGCAAGCATCCAATTACTCCCCATAGCCCAGGGAATAAAATCCAAATCACTTTGTTTGGCATTCAAGAGATTTCAAAACCACAAACAAAGCCCTTGGTCAATTCCCATGACCACCACCAGAATAAAAACCCCCAAAACAAGAACAAAAATCAAGCCAGGTGTTGTAGTGGGGTACACCTGTAATCCTACAGCTTTGGGAAGAAGAATCCCGAGTTTGAGGCCAGCGTGGGCAATACAAATCCTGTTTTAAAAACAAAATTAAAAATAAAGCCAGGCGGTGGTGGCTAACGCCTTTAATCCCAGCACTCGGGAGGCAGAGGCAGGTGGATCTCTGTGAGTTCGAGACCAGCCTGAGTTAGTTCCAGGACAGTCTCCAAAGCCACAGAGGAGCCCTGTCTCGTTTTAAAAAAAAAAAAAGTACATTTATCCTTATCTAATAGCATAACCCTAACAACTCTTATAGACCACTCAACCCAGACAATTTGTAAGTTCTCAGATCTACTCTATTTAACTAGTGCTCCCTCGATAGAACCCTTCCTTCAGTTCCGTTTTGCCTCTCCAGTTCTGTGACCCTCCGCACTGCCACTTTTTGCAATAAACTTGATCCCAGTTAATTCCAAAGGAAGGCTCTGCCCTTCTGAATCACGGAAGCAAAGTTTGTGGAACGAATTCCACTTAAAGATCCAGACAGACGGTGGCGCACGCCTTTAATCCCAGCACTCGGGAGGCAGAGGCAGGCGGATCTCAGTGAGTTCGAGGCCAGCCTGGTCTACAAAGTGAGTTCCAGGACAGCCTCCAAAGCTACAGAGAAACCCTGTCTCGAAAAAAAAACAAAAAACAAAAAAACAAAAAAAAAAGATCCAGACAGACACGGTAAGTGAACCCAAGCTCCTGCCATGCCCAGCAGGTAGGTTTTCCTAATTCTCTGCCTCTATACACTCCACCTGAAGCTTCTTCCCGCTCTTGTCTCAATGGGAGAAAGGCAGGGTATACTTTCGGAGCTACTCAAATATCACCTTTTCTGTTAAATGCCCTGAACTACCTCGGTTAGTTTCCTCTGACCTCCACAGCTTTCTCTCCCATCACAGCAATCATCACATGTCAACTACGCAGCAAGCAGTTCAGCTGTCCCCGTCGCCCCACCCCCACCCCATCTCTCCCATCACCCCCATCTCACTGAGTTCCTAAAGAACCGAGGCTGCGGGGGTTCAATACAAGACCTCAGTAACCAACCCTTCCCGGCTAAGCCCTATGGCCCTCGATTAGAAAAGCATCAGCACAATTTATAATGTCAGCTTACCTCCAACCTGTCACGCGGATAAGGACCATACCTCAGGCATCTCCAAGCTCTCATTCGCCCATCCTCTAGCACATGGCGCTCTGCAAAGATTCCTTTGCAGCCCAGCGAGAGCTTACACACAGTAGATCCTCAAAGCAAAAAGAGATAAAAGTCCAACCCCACCAATTTCGGGAGACGGAAGCCATCCTTGGTGGAGAAAGAGGACTGAGGCGGGAGTCGGGGCTCAAATCGGCACCCAGCCTAGACTCCTCAGTCCGCAGTCGTGAACCAGGACTGTTAGGAAACACCTCTCGGCTGCAGGGGAAGACTGAACCCAGCTCAGGGACACTGCATAAGGGACTCACAGGATTCCCGCGCCCCATCCCCACCGCCTCTGCGGGCCTTCATCCCACAGCCCCGCGCGCGCCAAACAGCCAATCCCGCGGCAGCCAGAGCTTCACGTGAGCAGCTGTAAGGCGGGGCTGACATGAAGAGAAGCCAATCAGAGGGCGAGACGGAAGGCCGCGGGTGGAGCTGGCGTAATGGCCGAGGCCGCTTCCCCGGGACTTCTAGACTCTTGGGTCTGTTTTCCACGAGTTAGACCTGCGGTGTTCTGTACAGCGAGCGATGCTGTTTTTCTTCTCCCTACAATACTCTGATCATGGGATTCCTGGCAACTGTTAGGCATAGTAATTTTACGCCTGCCTTGATAGAGAGTGGGGCGGGGGGAGGAGGCGAGAGACCCCTGTCTTGAACATTTTTAAAGACAAGAGTTTTAAAAAGATTTATTTATGATTATGTATATGTGTTTTGCCTGCGTGTATGTCTGTGCACCGTGTCAGTGCAGACCTCCTCGCAGAGGTCAGAAACAAGTGTCAGATCCCCTGGAACGTGAGCTGCCACGTCGCTGCGGGTAATCAAACCCTGGCCTTGCAACATTTTAAATAAAAGTGCCCCGAGAAAAGCGCAGCTAAATATCAAATTGGCAAGACCAGCACTGAGGATTTCCTGGGAGAGGAGGCATTTCATCTAGGTTTTGAAGAGCCTTAAGAATTAGGAAATTCTACAGGGCATGGTTCGCGCCGTTAATCCCAGTACTCCTGAGGCCAAGGCAGGAACATCTCTGTGGTTTTGAGGCCATCGTGGTTTCAATAGGGAGTTCCAGGACTACATAGAGAGAGCCTGTCTCAAACAATCAAACAAAAAAAGGAGATTCTGAGAGAAGTAATTATTTAAGCTCATCATAAAGTAGTGGAGAATTCTAGTTTGCCAGATTTTGGCAAAGCTAAAATCACCGATGTTGTGCTTCTCAAAATTCTGTGAGCCTTAGAAACACAAAGGAAGACCTGCTTGTACAGTCGTCATCCAGAATAAAAAGCAAACAGTGAAAACTCCAAAATGCTTGGGGCCCAAAACCTCCCCAATAGGTTACTTCAGGTTTGAGTCTAGAATAATATTTTCAATAAGCGCTCCAGGAGGAGCAACTCTGATTCACTGCAAAGTTTAAGGACACCTATGAGTATTACCAACCTCGTAGGAGACTGGAAAGACAGATATTTTGCTAAGTGCACTAACTGGTTGGATGTAGACTTCAGAATACTCCGAGTAGTGGGAGACTGAATATTTCAGAGGCCAGGTAGTTGAGTGATCAGAGTAATGGTTAAGGAAACAGTGTGCAGTTGTTTAGAGTGGGACAGTGTAAACACCTTGAGAGTGATCTCAAGAGCTAAGAAGAGCCTAAGTGGAAATGGAGAAATGGCAAAGGAATGGCAGATGAAGACTGTGATGAGGGACAGATAAGGGTGTGCAAACGGGCTTGAAATAAAGGGAAAGTAGAAGGGAACAAAGTGTCCTCTATACCAGACCATTCAAGTCTGGTCTAAGATCATTCTTAAACCTTGTAGTGTAAGGACAAGGGACAGCGAAGAGAATGTGCCTTTGCGTGTGCTGTTTTCTCTGCCTTGTTTGTCTTTCCCCCTTCTGTCTCCCTTCTCAATTTGGTTCTAGCTCACACATCAGGTCTTTTAGGAGTCTCATAAGCACCACTGTTATCATTTATACATAGCTAGCTCTCCAGAGTGACTCCAGAGTGCAGGTGTCAAGCGCACACCTTTAGGTTATAGGTTATAGTAAGACAGTTTCTCTTCCGTAAAGAAACAAAAAGTGGTAGTGTCTAATTCACAGAATAGTTAAAAGATAAATGAGGGACAAAGTCTACCACATTGAGTGCTCATTAATATTAGTGGTGGTGTCGTGAGTTAGTACATAGTGTTTCTGTCTGTAGCTTATGAAGATGACATATGTCTTATTCTCCCAGTCATCAGTAAGGTGGTGTGCAGAATGAGAGTACATGGGCTTTGGGTTTAAATAGGCCAGTGTTCAAATCCCAGTTCTGATCTTTGCTGGGTGGGTAACCGTGAGCTTTACCTTGTTGAACTGTTTTGCCATTTATAGGACAATGAAAATAATCCATGCCTTTTAAGTTTTTAGGATAATGGCAGGCAAGAATAAAAGATGCATATTTGGCCTGAATGAAGCAGTCACTAGATGACAGTTTTTATTTTAGCATGAAGATCTTGTTGTATTTGGACCATAGTAATTAATTGCTCATTAACCTATTACTAAAATTGACGTCATATGCCCAGTGCTATGGATAAATCTTTATGTGTATCATCTCACTGTTTTTCATAAACTACAGAAGGCAATATTATCTCTGATTTACACAGCAAAGTTTTGAGGCTTAGGTAAGCTTCACCAAAGTCGACTGGCTAGAATATGGCAGAGGTAGGATTTGAACACCCTAGGTAACCCCCCAAGGTATCTTTCTGACTGAAAGAATGAATGTAAAGGGACTCACCCAGAGATAGGTAATGTCCAGGACTATTGATCTCAGTTACTATTTATTCCATTCCGGACATTCCTGAAAGAACTGAGGAGGAGACAATGAGGGCTCAAGAGACCAGTCCTTTCCTTCACCAGAGTCCTCTGACACTTTGTCTGCTGAGTATGCAGGCTGTGCCATAGCTACCACTGTTGATAAGCAGAAAGGCAGAAGGAATGCATCTCGAATAAACTGGGACTCCAGTTCTTAGATAATCATTGTTAGTATAACCAGATAACTTGCCCAACATCTAGGAAAACATGCTTTTCAAGAGACTGGTTTCAAGTTGTTTTGTATCAAGAACATTTTCTTTACAGATACTAACCCTGAGATGTGAGGTCCTTCCTGACCTGACAAACTATACCCAGGAGACTTCTATTGTTTCTCTCTCTCTCTCTCTCTCTCTCTCTCTCTCTCTCTCTCTCTCTCTCTCTCTCGCTCTCTCTCTCGATTTGAAACACTACACACACACCTGCTGCCAATAGTGCATTACAGAAGAATAAGGAGGGAACAACAACTCAGTTCCCAGAACTTCTGCCCAAATGGTTCTTCTGCTCTTCCTGGTGAGTGGGAAGGAAAAGAAGGCACAGAGGGAGACATCTGCTGTTTAAAGTTCTCAAATGATTCAGAGTCCTTGTTGAATCATTTGAATTAGACAATCCCAGATTTCTTATTATATAATTGCAACTTCCAAGTGATATATAGAGTTTCCAGGACAGACCCCAGCATTTAGTAAACACATTTCCAGTAAAAAGTGGTCATTTTTCTCTCTCTAGGAAGAAGAAGAAGAAGAAGAAGAAGAAGAAGAAGAAGAAGAAGAAGAAGAGGAGGAGGAGGAGGAGGAGGAGGAGGAGGAGGAGGAGGAGGAGGAGGAGGAGGAGGAGGAGGAAGAAGAAGAAGAAGAAGAAGAAGAAGAAGAAGAAGAAGAAGAAGAAGAAGAAGAAGTTGTTCAAGCTGAGAGCAGACATTTCTATGTTGCTGGGATGATCAACTGTCTTGGTGTCCTTTCTGCCTCCTCTCTTGGAAACTCCATTCAGCCAAACATGAGCAAAGTGTGGTGAGCAATCAGAAGTTTTCAAAGTGGAAGCCCCAAACTGAAACAACAGCAATGATAAATGTAAGGGTGTCCAGATACCTAATTAAGAATGTTGTTTTGCCTTAACAAATTGGAGCAGAAACACAGTATTGTTCATTGAATTCAATTTTTTTTTTGCTTTTGAGATGGTGTCATGTATCCTGTTTTAGTCACTTTTCTACTGATGTGATAAAACAGCATCACCAAGGCAACTTGTAGAAGAAATAATTTATTGAGGGATTACATTTCCAGAGGATGAGTCTATGGCCATCATGTTAGGGAGCATGGCAGCAGACAGGCATGGTACTGGAGCATAGCTGAGTGCTTACATCCCTGTCCACAAACACAAAGCAGAGACAGCTAAGTGGGAATGGACTGAGTCTTCAGAAACCTCAAAGGCTACCCCAGTGACACCTCCTCCAACAAGGTCATACATACATCCTAATCCTTCCCAAACAGTTACACTTTAAATATATGAGTCTATAAGGGCCATTCTCATTCAAACCACTGTAGAGCTGTAGCTAGTCTTGAACCTTTGATCCTCCTGTTGATATTATAGGCATGCACCACCACCACCCTTACTTTACTGACTTAGCTTAGGGACAGGGTTTATTTTCCTATGACTTTCATAACAAATTACAACAAATCTGGTGGCTTAAAGTGACAGAAATGTGGGGGGTATTTTTATTTTAAAGATTTTTTTATTTTTTGGTTTTTCGAGACAGGGTTTCTCTGTATTTTTTTTTTTGGAGGCTGTCCTGGAACTAGCTCTGTAGACCAGGCTGGTCCCAAACTCACAGAGATCCGCCTGCCTCTGCCTCCCAAGTGCTGGGATTAAAGGCGTGCACCACCAACGCCCGGCTATTTTTATTTTATGTGTATGGATGTTTTGGTTGCATTTATGTCTGTGCACCATGTTCTTGTGTGGTGTCTGAGAAGGTCAGAAAAAGGTGTTGGATGCTGGTGAGCCATCACGTGGGTTCTGGGAACTGAACCAAGGTCATCTGTTGTGGGATATTTGTACACTGTGGTTGGTGTAATAAAGGCTGAATGGCTAATAGTTAGGCAGGAGGTATTGGTGGAATTTCTGGGAAGAGAAAGGAGGAGGAGGAGATAATCAAGGTACAGGGAGATGCCAATGAGAAGTGGAGGGAGTTGGGCGTATAGAATGAAAGAAAGTTAAAAGGCATGAGGAAAAGTGTAGATTAATATAAATGGATAATTAAAGTTATAAGAGTTAGTGGGATAAGCCTAAGCTAAGGCCGAGCTTTCATAATTAATATAAGTCTCCATGTCATTATTTGGGAGCTGTCCAGGGAGACAGAGAAAAACTCATTGCAGTAATATGAAAAATCAAGTACTCTCAACTACCAACTAAGTCATATCTCTAGTCCCACTCATTTTTTCTTTCTTTTTATTTTTATTTATTTATTTTTTGGTTTTTCGAGACAGGGTTTCTCTGTGGCTTTGGAGACTGTCCTGGAACTTGCTTGGTAGTCCAGGCTGGTTTCGAACTTACAGAGATCCGCCTGCCTCTGCCTCCCGAGTGCTGGGATTAAAGGTGTGCCCCACCAACGCCCGGCCTTTTCTTTCTTTTTAAAAATATGTTAATTATTTATTTTTATTTTATGTGCATTGGTGTTTTTGCCTGCATATGTGTCTGTATGAGGTTACTGGATCCCCTGGAACTGAAGTTATAGACAGTTGTGAGCTGCCATGTGGGTGCTGAGGATTGAACCCTGGTCCTCTGGAAGAGCAGTCAGTATTTTTAACTGCTGAGCCATTTCTCTAGCCTCTCTTCCTTTTTTATAGCAGGAGATTTGACAACAGTTTCACCAGGCTGAAACCAAAGAAGAAACCAAGCCTGGTACTGGAAACCTAGCCAAATACCTGGGGCTCATGAAGTCATTGATTGTGGAGGAGAACCTACAAGTGGCACTTTACTAAGCCAGCACAATCCCTAACTGCAGTATAAATATCTATCCTTAAACCCACATATAAGTATAGGTCTCACTCATCAAAGAAACGTCTCCTTTCAACAGATGGAGACCATCACAGAAAACCGCAACCAATCAAACTGCAGAGAACAAGTGACTGTATGGTGCCCGGCCGCAGCAGACACGTCTACAGCACAGTTCCTGCACCTGAGGCTCGGGAGTCGTAGTGGAAGAGGAGACAGAAAGATCGTAAGACTCAGCGGACTAGGAAGTGTGATGTGAGATTGCATAGCCTAGGAATATGAGAGACACTTCACCTGTGAAGTCTCACCATCATGCTGACTGAGCAAGGACAATATGAATAGACATGCTAACATGGAAGGAGGAAATCTCATGGGACCTCAACCATAGACAAGGAACTACTGGCAACTAAGAAATACTGAGAGTATGAGAAATCGTCTCACAAATTAGTTATCCAATACCAAGTGGTCACAGCTGAAATCAAATAACATGTAAATAACATCATGTGGACTGAGAAGGTTGCAGCTATGTATTTAGGAGGGTCTGTGTGTGTGTGTAAAACAACAAAGAAAGATCAAGAATTTGAGAGGGTGACCAAGGGACAGGTAACATGGCAAAGGTTAGAGGGTGGGAGGGAAGAGGGATAATGATGTAATTATATTTTCATTTCAAAATAAAATTTTTAAATGTGATATATAGATACAGTGAAAATCTTTGGTCCATAAAAACATCTTATCATTTGGGGGGGAAATGGATACAATTTGAGATAATAGTATTGAGCAAGTTAAGAAAGTCTCAGACAAGCCGGGCGTTGGTGGGGCACACCTTTAATCCCAGCACTCGGGAGGCAGAGGCAGGCGTATCTCTGTAAGTTCGAGACCAGCCTGGACTACCAAGCAAGTTCCAAGACAGCCTCCAAAGCCACAGAGAAACCCTGTCTCGAAAAACCAAAAAAAAAAAAAAAAAAAAAAGAAAGTCTCAGACAAATGTTGTATGTTTTCTCTCATTCCTGGTTCCTAGGTTCTATGTAAGTATATAAAATCAGGTATGTATATATGACATCAAAGCAGAAATAAAGCTTTGTAGGGCAAGAAAGGGGAACTTTCAGGAGGATAGAGGGGCAAGAAAAGGGGCACTAGGGACCATAGGTGGAAATATTTCAACATATAATATAACTTATATGAAAACTTTAAAAATAAGTACTTTTTTAATGATTAGTAAGAATTTTTAAAGATTTATTTATGATATAGTGTTCTGCCTGCGTGTACACTTGTATGACAGAAGAGGGCACCAAACCTCATCACCATGTTGTTGCTGGGAATTGAACTCAGGACCTCTGGAAGAGTAGCCAGTGCTCTTAACTTCTGAACCATCTCTGCAGTCCAATAAATAACTCTTTTAAAAATAGGAAAAGTGATAAAAGTAAATAAAACACAACAGGAAATTTAGAAGATGTTGAAATAAGCTAACAATGAGTATGTATGTACAGGTTAGCCTGATTTAAAATGAGTGCAGCCAGACCTGGTGACACACATCTTTAATTCCAGCATTCATGAAACAGAGGCAAGGGGATCTCTGTGAGTCTGAGGCCAGCCTGATCTATATAGAGGTCTAGGCCAGCCAGGGCTGCATAGTGAGACCCTTTTTCAAAAAATTAAAATGAGTGCAGTTTTGCAAACGAATTTAACCAGGAAAGAGGTGCTTTGCTATGGGTGGAAGCCATGTTTGTTCCTTTTAGAAGATGAAAACTGAACTCTGGCTGCTCACTTGAAAAACCCCAAGTTTCCTCACCCTAGGGACCTGATTCACTCCCTGAGGTCAGACCTTAGCTTGCTAATCTGCCATGACATAGACTCTTCTTGAGTCCTTATCAGCCTTCCTCAGTGGGTCAATGTTATGAAGGCTGAGGGATTCTGGCAGAGTTCCTGTTCCTCCCAGGCAGATATCACAGGGCAGCAGGGCCCTCAACAGCAAGCAAACATTCCACCCAGAGCCAGATGAGGAGCTGAAGCAGCAGGAGGAAACAAGAGCACCAGGTAAAGAATTGCTTTTCTAAATCTCATCATTATGTTGGACGTAGTTCAGATCTGAGAGTAGGAAGGGTTGGCTAAAGACAATAGTCAAGGAGACATTTGGTAAGGAAGGTGAGGGAGAAATTCTCAACCTGGTGGGAAGGATGCTCAGTTGAATCTAGACTCTCAGAACATCTCATGTAGTTATGAGTATCCAAATAACATCAATGACACCATGAAACCACACACTGTGATAGTCCAAAGCCACTTAGGTTTCCGTATAGACCCCACCAATGAAAGTTACCAGGAAGGTAATCTGAAAATAAGGAAGCCATTTGCCACAGAGCTTCAGAAATTGGAATGGAATTGCTCTGGACTGTGAACAGCCTCTCCCAGTCCTGTGTGCAGACAGCATATGGGCACTCCGGCCCAGAGAAAGACCACTTACTTCAGTTAAAAAGTAAATGTTCGAGTTCGAGGCCGGGCTGGACCGATAGCCTCCAAAACAATACAGAGAAACCCTGTCTCGTAAAACAAAACAAAAAAAAAAAAAAAAGTAAATGTTCTACTTTACAGTTAACTTTCTGAAAGTTAATTTAGAGCTCTAATTTCAGTTGAGATGGCTGTTCTCTAGTCTTAAAAGGTTACTGGTCACAGTTTAGCAACTGGGCCTCAAAGGGCTTTGGTGCTTTTCCAAATCTTAGAGGCTCCATAGTACAAAGCTAAACTAGAAGAGAAGGCAAATTTCCGCCTCACATCACACTGTGACAAATTTACATGGTCTGTGACTTTAGAAGATGTATAAAGAGCCGGGCGTTGGTGGCGCATGCCTTTAATCCCAGCACTCGGGAGGCAGAGGCAGGCGGATCTCTGTCAGTTCCAGGCCAGCCTGGTCTACATAGTGAGTTCCAGGACAGCCTCCAAAACAATACAGAAAAACCCTGTCTCAAAAAAAAAAAAAAAAAAGGAAGATGTGTAAAGAGCTAATACAATTTCAGCATTTGGTCTTTAAAATGTATAAAATAGCATATGAAATACCAAATTTTATGTGTTGTATACTTTTTTGGATTTTTTTGGTGTTGTTTTAAAGATTTATTTTATTATTGTATATGTAGTGTTCTGCCTGCACATATGCCTGCATGCCAGAGAGGGCAAAAGATCTCATTACAGATGGTTGTGAGCCACCCTGTGGTTGCTGGGAATTGAATTTAGGTCCTCTGGAAGAGCAACCAATGCTCTTAACCTCTGAGCCATCTCTCCAACCCCTATTTTTTGTTTGTTTGCTTGTCTGAGACAGGATCTCATGTAGTCAAGTTAACTTACCATAGCCAGGAATGACTTTGGAGATGACCCTCTTGCCTCCATCTTCTGACAGGATTACAGTTGTGTGCCCATACGTAGCCTAATGTTGATTTTCATAAAAGACCTACCATACACAACCCAAACTCCACTTCCTGTACTTTCCACTTCTACTTCTCTTCCCCTTTGAATTATGACTAGAGCCCCTGACTTCAGCTTCTATTTCTGCACATTTTTGTTTGTTGTTTGTTTTGGTTTGGTTTTTTAAGACAGGGTTTCTCTGTATTGTTTTGGAGGCTGTCCTGAAACTGGCTCTGTAGACCATACCTGGCCTCAACCTCACAGAGATCCACCACTGCCCGGCATTTCTGCACATCCTTTAACTCACTTAGCTCCTGCACTAACCCATTCCCCCTTATATCTGGACTTATATGTGGTGCATCCCAAATTTAAGCAAAAGTGGGCTGAAGTTTTCAGCAACTTAATTTATTTCATTATGGAAAACTATTAAGTATTCACTTTTTAATCTTTGGCTACTCTTGTTGAAAAGTCTATTTGGCAACATTGTTCAAAAACAATGGGAAAAGTTAGACATTTGGTTGCTAGTCCCACTAAAGAATCTTTTAAAAGACTATGTTCAATGTTAAAATGTATCTCCAATAATGTATAACCTTGGAGAAAATATTGTGACCTCTGAACTCACTAATACAGAAATATTTCTGTCCTGGTTATATTTAGGAACACCCCTCTGCTATTGTTGGGAGTGTGTAAAAATGCCCTATGCTGAGATCACCGTAAATTTGGGCAAAGTGACTTTGGGAGAAGAAAACAGGAAGAAGATGACCAATGGTTGCTTGAAAAGACATGAGAACTCGAGTATCATCCAGGCTGTCTGTGCACTGCTGAATTCTGGAGGAGGTGTGGTCAAAGCAGAGATTGTTGATGAAAACTATAGTTACCGATGCCACGGGCTGGGGCAGGATTTGGAAACTTCTTTTCAGAAGCTTCTTCCATCAGGTTCACAGAAGCATCTTGACTGTATGCAACAGAACCACAACCTCATGATTTTTGTGAAGTCATGGAGCCCAGATGCCTCCAGCCTTCCGCTGAAGATTTGCAGTTTACGCTCCAACTTATACCAGAGAGATGTGACCTCTGCCATCAACCTGAGTGCCAGCAGTGCCCTGGAACTTCTCAAAGACAAAGAGTCTAGAGCCCAAAGAGGTGTCCCCAGGGTGCATTCTCAGGAATGCCTCCTCAACAGATCCACCCAGGAAGAAGACGACATTGAGGTGTGTGCTTCAGAATTTTTTAAAAAAGATAAACTCAATTATAAGGAGAAGCTGAACTTCACAGAGTCAACACATGTGGAGTTTAAAAGGTTCACCACCAAGAAGATTGTTCCTCGGATTAAAGAGACGCTGGCTCATTACGTTTCTGCATTTGCCAACACTCAGGGGGGATACATAATTATTGGGGTTGATGATAAGAGCAAAGAAGTTTTTGGATGTAAGAAAGAAAAAATGAACCCGGAATCACTAATAACAGAAATAAAAAACTGCATAGAAAAGTTGCCAACATACCATTTCTGTCGTGAAAAGCCCAAGGTGAATTTCACAACCAAAATTTTGAAGGTTTATCAAAAAGAGGCCCTATACGGTTATGTCTGCGTGGTTCGAGTGGAACCCTTCTGTTGTGTCGTGTTTGCAGGAGACCCGGATTCCTGGATCATGAAGGACAACAATGTCAAAAGACTGGTGGCTCAACAATGGGTGGACATGATGCTGGGTGTTCAGCCAGGTAAAAAAGGATGGAAGGCATCACAGAGGCGAAGAGCAAGAACCCTCTCCTTCACCTTTGAGGGTGTGCTGTCACGTAGTTTAGTTTTAAAAACCAGAAACGTGCTTTTGTTTACAAATGCACTTCCACAATATTGTTCTTTTTCTTTTATCTTAAAAAAATTTTTTAGTGTTCTTTTTCTAATGGCTTTGTTCTGAAGACTGAATCTCTTTGAAAGTAAAAAAAAGAAAAGAAAGAAATTTGGATTTCAGTCTTTTGGGGTCAAGTTATCATATATCATCAGCCATGAAGTAGTGAGTCGTCCGTCGTCCCCTGCCCCCCCCCTTTTTTTTTTGTTTTTGTTTTTTTTTGTTTTTCGAGACAGGGTTTCTCTGTATTGCTTTAGAGGCTGTCCTGGAACTCTCTCTCTCTTGTAGACCAGGCTGGCCTCAAACTCACAGAGATCCACCTGCCTCTGCCTCCCAAGTGCTGGGATTAAAGGCATGTGTCACCAACGCCTGGCTTAGAAGCCTATATCTTAAACTATACGAGGCACCACAACATGGGGGAGTGAGGCAAGAGCAGATACTCCAGGGACCACCAGAGGGAGGAGGACCACTGGTGGTTGTGTAGCCCTTCCAGCCCTTACATCTTGTTTGACAGTCAGCCTTAGTGCTTCCTATTCAACCTGTAAAAGACTTACAAATAAGCTCATTCCCTTGCTTGCAGGATCAGATACTCCCAATTTGATGAAACACCTTAGATCATTGGATACAGATATCAGCCATTACAGACTTCATGGCATCATCCTAAATTTGTTTGATCTATTTCCTGGTTTCCCCAGGGGGACGCCCTCCCCCCCTTTTGTTGTTCTTTTGTTTGTTTGTTTTCAAAAACAGGGTTTCCCTGTGTAGCTTTAGAACCTCGAAATCGCTCTGTAGACCAGGCTGTCCTTGAACTCACATAGATCCACCTGCCTCAGCCTCCTAGGTGCTGGGATTAATGATGTGCTCCAGCCAGCCCCCCCCCCCCCACCCACGCTGATCCTTCTTCCAATTCCATTTTACCTTAGATTAAGCTAAAAGCAACTGTAACCATCAGTGCTGCCCCCTTTGGTCATAGGCAGCTCACAGCCAACAGGGCTTTCTCCTTTTCTCCGTGCCTCCTGTAGGTGGCCGACAAGGTTTAAGGCTTGCTTGCATTATTGTGCTTTTTCTCACTGTCCTAGAGTTTTAAAATAACAACTGGGCTTCACATGACCTTTGCTGACATCTAGTAGCGCCCCTTTCTTCTTACAGGTGACCCGGTACCAGGATTTTAGAGTTGGAAGAAACTCAGGGACCATCACCTCATGAGAGACAGGAGAAATGACCCTTGTTTGAAATGAGTTACCCAGTGAGGTAAACTGCTGGAGACCCACAGAGCAGTTCCCAGCGTCCTTTCCCGCCATGCACAGCTGTGTGAGGCAGCGCAGGGCCTTGCACCTGTTTCCTGTAGAAAGAACAATCGCAGAGTTCTGCCACATTTGATTTTTCCTTTCCTCTGAAGCCGCTTTTATATTTGTTTAGATCCTTCCAGCTTGCCCACCACCGATTACATGGCTCATCCGATTTCATCAGCTTCACCTGCTCCAAGAAGGCCAGCATACCTCACAAAAGCCCTGGGATATAAGAAGATTCTGCAGCACAGTTTGTTTCCAGGTATACCCATCTCAGTTTGGGTTTTGTTTGGCTTTTGAGACAGTATCTCACTATGCAGCCCAGGCCAGGTTTGTATATTCCCTCTTCATTTCATCTGAGGAGATTATTTTTATACAATAAAGCATAGCTCAGTGGTAGAATGTTTTCCTAGCAAGGTCCTGAGTGTGATACCCAGCATTGAAAAAATAATTCAGTTGGGAGGAATTAATAGCAGGTAATCCAAATATTTTTTTCTTAGGGAATGTCAAATGTAAGACATTAGCAGACATAATGGTCCTGCAATTTTACACACACACACACACACACACACACACACACACACACACACACACACACACACAGAGAGGAAAATAGAGAGAGTGGGGGGGGAGGAGAGAAGGGTCTTAAATCCTAGTTCTCAATCTGGATCAAACTTCTATATGCACCTGTGTCTTTTAGTCTTTAAAATGGAAAGTGCTGGAGTTTTTTGAATCTCTATCATAAGAGAACTATGCCATGACTTTTTAATATAGAGGGAGTCAGAAGGCTCCACCAATATCTTCTGAAGAAAAATTTCTTCAGCTTTAGCACTACTGATATTAGAGTCACACCACAGAGGGAGGACTCTGTCCCTTATATGATGTTTATCTGTATCCCTGGCTTCTACTCATTAGATGCTAGTAGCTTCCCTCCAGTTGTAATAATCTAAAAGTCTCCAGACATTGTCTCAGCTGGTGAGATGGCCTGATGGGTAAAGACAGCTGCCACCAGGCTTGAGAGCCTGAGTTTAATCTCTGGGCCCCAGTGGTAGAAGGAGAGAACCTGAAGTTGTCTTCTAACCTCCACATATACTGAACACACACACACACACACACACACACACACACACACACACACACACACACACCACCCAATAGTAAAGTAAAATGTCTTCAGAACTCTGTTAAGAGTTACTATTTGGGGGCTGGAGAGATGGCTCAGAGGTTAAGAACACTGACTGCTCTTCCAGAGGTCATGAGTTCAATTCCCAGCAACCACATGATGGCTCACAACCATCTGTAATGAGATCTGGTGCCCTCTTCTGATGTGTAGACATACATGGAGGCAGGGTGTTGTGTTTGTAACAAATAAATCTTTAAAAAAAAAAAGAGTTACTATTCTGCCTGGCTGTGGTGGCACACACCTTTAATTCCAGCACTAGGGAGACAGAGGCAGGCAGAGCTCTATGAGTTCGAGGCTAGCCTGGTCTATAGAGTAAGTTCAGGACAGCCAGGGATACACTGAGAAACCCTGTTTCAAAAAACGAAAAGTAGACAACAACAAAGAAATTACTTTTCTAGAAGATGTCACCCCTCACCCTCACCCTCCACTCCGCTTTTTCTTTCTTTTCCAACACAGGGTTTCTCTGTGTAGCTTTGGCTGTCCTGAAACTGACTATAGACTAGGCTGGCCTTGAACTCAGAGACTAGCCTGCCTCCATCTCCCGCGCACCCTACTGTGCAGCCTAAAGAGGACTCTTACTGTCCCCCAAAGCACCAGGTCCACAGAAAGCCCTTAGTAGGAAGGGATGCCGCTCCATCAGCTGTGTGTGTCTGGGACTGGAAAAAGGCTCCAGGAGCCTGTTGTTGGTAGACCTCTTCCTAACAGCTTCCTCCCAGACTAGAGTTGCTGGGCGTGGAATGCCGGGTGTGGGATGCTGGGTGTGGGAGTCTCTCATCTCGGTCTCGGGATGTTCTCTTTGCAACAGGAAAATTATAGTTCCGAGGCTAAAGTAGTCCCTTTCTCTCAGTTTGCAAGAGCAGCAGCCCTGTGCTTCTTTTTTTTTTCCCCCTGAGTTTTGCTAACCTCTATTCCTTCTATTTTCAGTGACACAGGCAAGCCTGCAATTTCAGCCAGAATCCCTCTGTAAGAAGCTGTTCTCAGATCACAACGGACTGGAGGACTTACTGAAGGCGCAGATACATCCTTGTTCTCATGGGATTGTGATAGTTTCTAGAAGCTGGGCTGGTGATATTGGTTTAAGGAAAGAGCAGAAGGTCCTGTGTGACGCTCTCCTGGTAGCAGTCAACAGCCCTCTGGTACTCTATACGATCTTAACAGACCAAAGCTGGAAGGGAGGATCTGACTATACGCACAACACTGCCCTTCAGTTAAAGCAGCAGCTACAAACTCTTGGCGGCTACTCAGGCAAAGTGTGCATCATTCCAAGGCAGATACACCTGACCGGCAGAGGGCCCAGACCTGATCAGTCCCCTGTGTGCTATCCCCGATCCTACACATTGTCTAGTAAAACGGAAGTGGAAGGCGTGCTGCAAGCCCTTGTGGGGGTCTCACTGTGCTCCAGGTCAGTGCTGAGTGACCAACTGGGCTGTGAGTTTTTCAAGCTTCGTGTAGAAGAGCAATGCAACTCACTCTCCGAGAGTCTCCAAGAAACCCGGGAATTGTTCATCCATTGCTTTCCCGGAACCAGAAAGACAGCTCTAGCCATGAAGATCACGGAGAAAATCAAGGATGTGTTCCACTGCAAACCAAAAGAGATCCTCTATGTTTGTGGAAATGACTCCCTCAGGGATTTTGTGATGTGAGAATTTTACCATCTAAACTTTTGGCAGGGGGTGGGGGGAGACTTTCAACACAGTCACAAAAGTAATTTGAGTTTAAGATTTAACAATGTTCTTTCACTTGCAAGTGTAAAAGCCTGAGTTAACACAAATTTCCAAATGTGGTTGAGCTCTAGAATGGGTAACTTATCATAATCAACCCCAAACAGGCCAAGGATGCTTGTCATTTGTTTGTTCAGTTTGGTATTTTTAGACAGGGTTTCTCTGTATTGTTTTGGAGGCTTCCTGGAACTCACTGCTCTATAGACCAGGCTGGCCCTGAACTCACAGAGATCTGCCTGCCTCTGCCTCCAAAGTGCTGGGACTAAAGGTGTGCGCCACCACTGCCCAGCTCTGTTTGTTTGTTTTTGAGATAGTCTTTCTCCTTAAACTCAATTCCTCCTGCATCAGCTTCCTGAGCATTAAGAGTATAGAAATACACTACCATGCATGCCCAACTGTGCCTCTAATTTATAGTAGCAACATTTCACCACAATTTAAGAAATGTAGAGATGAAGCTGCCTTCCTTTAAATAACTTTGCTGAATAGTTAGTGCTTTTGGTTATACAATTAGTCACTATATCTAACAAGCATTTAAATTTAAATACACCTTAACTTTGTTTATAAAATATTCACACATTTGAGTTATTCTGCACCAGAAATTTTAGAAAATATGTAAATTTAATTCTGATTGAAACCTCTAGCTTTCAGTGTAGTAAACAAATTGGATATTGTACCATTTATCAAAGAGGGAAAATTCATGTTATTTCTTTTGGTTTTAATCAAAAATATTTTTGAGCAGTATTTATGTTAGATGCTATTCAATATGATGACAGAGGAAAAAAAACAATGGAGACTTTACAAAATAAACAATGCAAGTGCTGTATTGTTGGTATTATAATAATAAAGGTCTGCCTCATGGGCTGGAGATTGGTCAGCAAATACTCTCCAGGGAAGGAGACTCTTGACTGGACTAAATTGTTAGGAAGCCAGGTGTGAAAGTGCATGCCTGAAATTCCAGCACTCTGGAGACCGAAGCAGAGTGAGACTGAGAGTCTGAGGCCAGCCTGGCCTGCACAGTGAGACCCTGTATAAAAGCAATCGAGCAAAGGATAAACAGTAGGAGGAGTGAATGAGATGGGGAGGGCCTCCCAGGCAAAGGGCACAGCAAGGTCAAGGGCAGTGAGGAGCAGATATATGGAAAATGGTGATGTTGGAATGTCTGCAGATGCTAGATTATGAATGAAACTGCTAGGGGGCCAGGAATGTTATGGAGCGCTGTGGGGAAAAATTTAAAATGTCCCAGTTAAAACCCCAATTGTCAAATACCTATCAAGCCCCTAATGTGAAGAAGGTATGGGACAGCTAACACTTGTGCTTTCCTTTAAGAGCCACACTGACCAAGCTAGAAGTCAAGGCAGAGAGTAAGCCCCAGGAACTGTGTACACAGAGTCTGCATGTGGGCACCCTATTGGATCCTTAGAGAAGACAGAAGCAACCAGATCTGGGAAACATGTTTGTGTAGTGTATATGCATGCTACAATGTGCCACAACGGGAAATGGACCAGAGAGAGGAAGACCTGTGTGGCTTCTTTTTTTTAAGTCTTCTTGAAGGAACTCAGCAACTGGTGTTTTTCTTACCAAAACCCAAAGGAGTTTCTGATTTTTTAAAGACAAGTAAAGAAAAAGACAAAATTTGAAAATACCTCTTTTGCATGTATACATTACAATATGCTTGCAGGAGACTGTTACCTAATCTTAGTAAAAGGGCAAGTTATAGAAGTAGGAACAGGCATGAATTACTTTTGAGATTTCCTTTAACTGTATTGATCTTGTCTTCCCCTGTCAAGCATCACAACTGGACCAGTAGAAGCAGCAAACTTTCCTAACTTATTATTTTTGAGACGAAGTATTGCTATGTAAGCTAGGTTGGCTTATAGTCGTTATATCATCCAGGTTGGTCCTGAGTGATGGGATTATTGGCACAAATGACCCAATTGTTTAACTACTTCATAGTAGAATTTCACAAGAAGATTTAACTAAGCGGTCCCCAAACTCTGCATTCTATCTGTCAGGTACCTTGGAAGTAGAGTGGTTTTGTTGCACTGCCTCTATTAATGAATCAGTCTACAAAGGAGAATCAGTCTGTATTTCCAACACAGAGAATAAGGAAAGCTTCCATTATCTTTGTTTATATGCCTGAAACCCTGTTTACTCTTTCATGGTTACAGCCAACAAGTCACCTGCCAAGTTGTGACCCACAGGACCTTCATGAGAGAAGAGTTCCCAAAGATTAGACACATAGTGATGGATGAGACTGAGGATTTCTGTAGGAGATATGGTGACTGGTACATAAAGGCTAAGAGCATCACCCATCCAGCACTCAAGGGGGCTGCAAGTGAAAACCTTCACCATGGGATCCTCTGGCTTTTTCTGGATCCTTTCCAAACCCGTCATGCAGATGTTAGTGGCCTTCCTGCCCCTTCTGCTCAGTTTCCTCGAAAAGTGATCACCAAGATCCACTGTGCTGTGGAAATTGCAAACTTTATGAAAGAAGAAATGAAGAGGATCCAAGAAAGCCCACCCCCCAACATATCTCCAGACATGCTGGCAATGTTCCAGGAGGCTCCCTATGAGGAAGCAATGTGTGCCCAGGCTCTGCCTGGTGTGTGTGAGATCAAGGCTAACCTGACACTAGAACAAATAGCCAACTATGTTGCAGAAAAATGTCACAGCCTGTTCCATGATGGCTATCTGCCCAAAGACATTGCAATTCTGTACAGAAGGGAAGACAGAGGACAGTATAAGGATGTGTTGCTCAGAGCAATGACCCAGGGAACAACAGAGGTTGCATTCAGCAGCGCTGCGGATGTTTGTAGCGATGGCATCGTTTTAGACAGTGTTCAGCAGTTTTCAGGCATGGTAAGGAATATTGTGTTTGGGCTTAGTCCTGAATGCATGCAGTCAGAGGGGGCTCATAAACTCTGCTTTGCCTCAAGAGCCATTAAACATCTCTACTTGCTGTATGGAGGGAGGACAGCCTCCTGATGACTATTGTAAATAACACAGGAAGCCAAACAAGAGCAATCTCTCCTCCCAGATGGTTGGTAGCTACTTCCTCTCTAATACTACCAGTGAAGCCACGAAGGCACATTGTTACAGCCTGGAGCCACAGCAATGTGTTTTTGGGGGGGAGGATGGGTCACTCTACTAGTGGTGGCTGTGCCCTTTGCTCAGTCCACTTCTTTTTCCTGGACAGTGACAATATAAGTATGATTAGTTCTCTGCCTCCACTTTTCCTAACTCAATCCACCTTTTATTCTGTTATCCACAGACCCTAAAATAGAAAGCAGATTTTATGAAATTCTCTGTTCCAGGGAGTCCCCGAAGCCTGTGGATGGAGTCAGTTTCCAAGGCTTTTATGGTTCTTGCTTCCTCTACTGACCCCGTCCTGGATCATGCCTCCATCTCCCAATGTTTCTAATGCACTCCAGGCTTGTAGTGATGGTGGGATTTCTTTTAGACCAATTTCTTGCACCGGGTGTCTTGAGGGCAGCACCTAGACTAGCATCTCAGGCTGTCTATGGGGCTCAAGCTTCACAGATCCAAGCTTGATTTCCTGTTTTCACAGTCTAGATTAGTCTCTTGAGGTTGACTTTCTGCCAACCAAGATCACAAAAGACAAACACAAGAATGAAAAAGCCACTCCGTTAGTTTAGAGTGTGAACTATATTAACCAGTGGGCTAGAGGTGTTTTGCTAATTTGTACATTCATCAAGAACACAGGAAGCCAAATGATGTGAGAAGAGCTCTATAGTAAGAATAGAGCAGCGGGGCAGTGGTGGCACACACCTTTAATCCCAGCACTTGGGAAGCAGAGGCAGGTGGATCTCTGTGAGTTGGTGGCCCGCTTGGTTTATAGAGAGTTCCAGGACAGGCTTCAAAAAATGGGAAATGGCAGCTATGTTCTCTCTCTCTCTCTCTCTCTCTCTGTCTGTCTTTCCCTCTCCTCTTTTCTTTCCCTTAATCTGGTAGATAATGCAATTAGTGTAATAAACTAACAGAGATAAAGAGTTGCTTGTTGTGTGAAGCTGCTAAAACATTGTTAAGGAGGACAACAGAATATATCAGCTTGAGAAAAGGAAAAAGAAGAATAAAAAGCTTCTAAACATCTCTTGACCTCAGTATATTTTCTCTCATTTTTGCTTATTTCCATTCCCTTTTGATTTTTTACACACATTGCAAGTTCTGCACTCAACTTTATATTCTGTACGGCTGCTTCTTCCATTTAATTTTTGCAAAGCATTGTCACAGTGTCATTGTGCCTATCGCTTTACATCTATCCTTAGGTCTACCCTTTGCATATCCCAACAGTAGAGCTAGATATTGAAAACAGGTTCCACTCTGGAAATCAATGTGGAGAATTCCCGAATAGCTAAAAATAAATCTACCAGCTAGCCACTCCTGGGCATGTTGTCAAAGGACTTGACGTCATAGTCCTTGACAAAACACGCTCAGCCATATTCATTGCCACTGTATTCACGACAACTAGGAAAGGGAAACAACCTAAATGACCTTCAAATGAAGGGATAATGAAAGGGCTCTTGTATACAAAGGAAAAATGAATCCATGCGTTTTGCAGGTGAATGGATGGAACTAGACCATATACTGAGTGAAGTGATCCAGACCCAGAAAGACAAATGCCACATGTTCTCTCCTATCCGTGGTTCTTAGCTCAGAATCTTTAGACATGAGAAGCCACAGAAATCAGGGAAGTCAAAAGGGACCAAGTCAGGGGAACTCTAGGTTGGGGGATGGTGAGTGACAGTGCTATGAAGCAGAAAATGGGGTAAATGGAGAGGGGCTTTGACACGGGAGGGGGAAAGGTGGGCGATACAGAGGGGCAATAAGTAACAATGAGAATGTTTCATGAAGCATGTGGACCATATGATTTTACATTTACCTAAAATTGCATGTAACATGTATGTGTATACACAGACATGTAGTTTAAAGACGTTTCCACACTCTGGGTGATAATGCTCCCTGAAAGAGCCATGAACTAACAAAGCCCCCAGTACCATGCATGAGAGCCATGAGTTCTCTTGAGTTGTTGGTCAGAGTAGTCCAAGAGACCCCCCAAAAATCAAAACAATATAGATGATTGCTGTTGCCCTTGGTTGCCTCCCAGAATCGGAAGGCAAGGTGCTATTGCTGAAGAAGCCACACCCTTCAGACACAGGAAATGATCTGGAACTGGCCTCGGAGCCTCCTCCCTGATGACTGGCTCTCATAGTATCAGAAGAGTCTATGGAAACTGCCAAGGGAGAGAAGCATTTGGTAGTCCTACCCCACTGTACAGCCTATGAGCCACAGCAGTGACTGGCCTGGCAAGATAGCCACAACAATGCAATAGTGGCACTGTTATTTTGGTTACCAACAATTGTCTGATTGGACTGAAGCCCTGCTCAACAGGAGGAATTCATGTCTAGTACTGTAAACCCAGCCAACTCCCCATAGCTAGAGAGGACATAAACCAGAGAGGAGAATTTACTACTGCTACTTCCCTAAACCAGGAGAATTTTTTTTCTCAGTAACTATGCTTATACAGATAAGTGGAGTTCTCACCCCTCATCCAAGAAGCTTCTTTTTACTATGGATGGAGGCTGTCACAGAGTCCCACAACTGATCAGAATGCAGGTAACCCATGACTGGGGGTGCCAACCCTATCTAATACATCTGCAACACAACCCCTAAGCTCAGGGAAAACCATGGGAAAGTGGGGAGGAAAGTGTGTGAGAACCATAGGACCATGACCCCTGCTGCTAGGTCGAATCTCCTAGAAACAACAGGGAAGCTGCACTCACGAACTCTCAACATGACCAGCATAATGACACCACCAACTGACATGCTTGCTAGTGGGGACATGGTCCAACCCCAAGACAAAAAGCTGTAGGAGGTCAATGGCTACTGAGACAGAAAGAACTGGTTGCTTTCAGAGACCAACTCCCACATAGGGTGTCTAATCCCAAGGTAGGCCTAAATGCATGCACATACAAGCAAAGCTAAATGGACTCAGTATGTTATATATACATATGTGCATATATATGCATATACATATGTGTATGCATGTAACAGTAACATTTTTAAAAAGATGATGATGATGAATGTGGGAGGGGTAGGGGGAATAGGAATTATGTAGATGCAGTGTTCATGCTGAGGGTCAAAGCCAGAGCCTTGTATGTGCTAGACAAGTCTGTAACACTGAGCTACATCCTTAGCACTCCTTTTTAAAAAATATTCATTTTATTTTTAATTATGAGTATGTGTGTGCAAAAGCGTATTAGTGTTCGTGCCTGTGGAGGCCCCTGAAGCTAGAGTTACAGTTGGTTGTGAGCCACCGCATGTAGGTGCTGGGAATTAAACTCAGGGCCTCTGGGAGAGCAATGCTCTCCCTTAACCACTGAGCTAGCTCTTTAATACTGCCCTCTCCCTTTTTGAGACAATGTCCTGTTATGTAACTGCCAGGGTCTGGGATTGCATACCAGTAGGCATATATAATTCTTTTATTTAAATAAGGGGGGAAAGACTGTTATCAGCACCTGATTACATAAAGTAAGTACTCATGTTTCAGAAATAGTTGACTCTGCAAAGGAGCATGTGCAATAAAGCTACACCTAATCACTCTAATCCAGAGCCTCAAAGAAATTACTTGTAGAATTGTGGGTAGAAGCCTGGATCACTAACCTTGATGTTGCTTAAGTACAGCTTCCGAGAAAAGAAAAGACAACCTTATTCTCGAATAGTTTTTTGTTTTTTGTTTTTTTTTTGTTTTTTGTTTTTTGTTTTTGGTTTTTCGAGACAGGGTTTCTCTGTGGCTTTGGAGGCTGTCCTGGAACTCACTCTGTAGACCAGGCTGGCCTCGAACTCACAGAGATCCGCCTGCCTCTGCCTCCCAAGTGCTGGGATTAAAGGTGTGCGCCACCACCGCCCGGCTAGAACTTTTTAAAAAAATTTTTAGTCAAGCATGATGGCATACACCTTTAATTCCAATCTCTCATACGCTATGGACTCTGTCATTAAGCTATAGCCCCAGACTGATTTTTTATTTTTTTATTTTGAGAACAGGTCCCACTAAGTTACTCAGGTCGATCTTCACTTGTGATCCTCCCGCCTCAGCCTGGGGAGTAACTAGGATAGCAGGCCTACGCCACCAGGCCTAGCTTATTCTAAATTTTGTTCAAATTACTTAGGAAATGCATAAGTAGTATATTTTTCTATGAAAATACAGTATGATGGTGGAACACACACAGAGAACAAAAAACAAAAACAAATAGAAATCCTGATTCTTATTTCACAACACCCCCGCTGTTTTCCATTTCTGCTCTTTCATTGCCAGTGCGAGCACACTGGCAGATAAGCTCTGGCTGAGTTGTCATCACAAGCACACTCCCCTTGGTGCCTGTTTGGGCTGATGTTCCACAGCCCCTTCCTACTCTGCAGTCTCCCACATGGCAGACAGAGCGTCTTCCAGGCACAGCAGGTCCTGGGTGCCTTTGAGCAGGGAGAGGCTGGCAGCGCTGGTTTCCTGCCACAGTCTGACTCATGTCTGTGGGGGAAGAAGAGGTGATGGATTAGCATTTCACTTCACGACGGTCTTGAAGCCCAAGGCAACAGCAGAACGGTGGTGGCGCACGCCTTTTATCCCAGCACTTGGGAGGCAGAGGCAGGTGGATCTCAGAGTTCAAGACCAGCCTGGTCTACAGAGCTAGTTTCAGGACAGCTAAGACTGTTACACAGAGAAACCCTGTCTCAGGGGATGGGGGTGGGGGCGACGACAGGGAGAGAGAGGGCTCCAACACTCTAGGAGACTCAGCAGCACAGGACAGAACTGAATAGTGGCAGTTGCCAGGTACAGAATCCACGAGGTGTAAGCAGATCCGGGCCTGCCCAGTTATTATTAGACAGTTGTCCCATATGCCACCCCAATATATGCTGTTTGGCATTATTTGAGTTAAAGTCAACTGAAAAACTGCAGATACTAGAGAGACAATCTCATTCTTTCTCCTCCTGGAAACAGGAGAGGAAAACTACTCCTTGCAAGATGCCCTTCTTGTAGCAAAGAAACATGTCTCAGGGAAGATAATTCTATTTTATTGCAAGATGCCCTTCTTGTAGCAAAGAAACATGTCTCAGGGAAGATAATTCTATTTTATAGGCCCTCCCTCTCCCCCCCTCCCTCTGCCCATTCCTGCCTATTCTCCCTTCACTCATCCTCTCTTTTCTCCTCCACTGTCCTTTCTTCTCCCTCTAACCCTTCAGCTCCTCTCTTCCTTCCAAATAAACATAGATTTTGCAATATTTGCCACCCCAAGTCCTACTTTTTTCACTAATCACAGTCTCTTCCCTGCCAAAAGTATCATTTCGTTTCTATTAAGGTTAAGTAAAATCCCATCGAGTACATTTTCTTTGTTTACTCATCAGTTGATGGAAGAGAAAGCCGTTCACATTTTGGCTACCGTGAGTAGTGCCACAGTGAACACAGATGTTCAGGAGTCTGTACTTAGAGTCCTTTCCTATTTCTAGAATTGTTTCGACAATCATTTAGAAATCCAAGCCAAAACAAACCCATAAACCCTAGACTTTAATTATGAGAAAAATGTAGGTCAAACTAACCGAGATAGTACAGTAAAATAAGGAGAGTTTAACATTATTTTAAAACTTTTAGTTCCAGGTTTTTAAAGACAGAATTTCTCTATGAAGTCTCGGAACTCACACTGCAGACCATGCCGGTGGGGGGCCGGGATGACCTAACCTCTGATATTGCCAGCACACTGAGTACATACGGTCTTTAAGATTATTTGTAAACTTGAAAATTGTCTTGAACAGCTAAAGACCGGCCAGAACTACATAACAAACGGTTCTCCCAACTGAAGAAAACTAAGAAACAAAGAATGGAGGACACACAATAACTGGTTAAACTAAAAAGCTAACAAGAAACAGCTAAGCAGTTTCGCAAACAGTCTACGTAAACGTTTAAAACTAAAAAGCGTTTTATAAACTCTTTTAACTTAGTAGGTATCCCCCAAAGGGGGTGCACCGTTCCTGGAGGTACTGCAATACCAGGTCGATGCGTGGAGTGGACGGAGCAAGCTCCTATTCCAACTCCTATTTCC